CGTACAGTTCCGTAGTCGCGGGTCCATACTCCACAATTGTGGTTAGTGCAATGCGCACTGTAACAAGTATCTAAGATCAGCAATCACGACATTTACGACGAACGTTATTCCCGGTCTTCGACCAGTCTCTCGGCTTGCCAGTTTCCTAATGGGTACTTAATAACTAAGGGGGACTCTATTCGATTATCATGCTCTCTTGATACGACAATGGCCTATGTACATATGGATATATGATACGAATAGAATAGTCTTAGCAGTTAGGTATTAGTTCTATTTCTTAAAGATTACCTATGTAAATTGTGAATTATTGTAAATTACATCGTTGAATATTATAAGTGAAACCCTCATAGTTGTTGAGCCGAGCATAAATCTCTTGTGAATGATACGATACTACTAACATGGAAAAGAAGAGATGGCAAGGACGGCCTCGTCGCCGGAACCGGCATCATAACGAAAGGATAACTTTTCTCGGTACCAAGAACAACGTTGTTTTGATTATTATTCTTACTGCTGTTACTGCGTACTTTCTTTCAACCCAGTGGCATGCGTATCGACATGCAGAGCATACTAGCATTACGTATCAAATTAGCCAGGCAGACCTAAAATACGGCCTTACACAATGCACTCTAAACAAGGAACGTCCATTCATAGACAGGAATCTAGCATCTTTTCGTCTAGAAACTCAGCCCGCGGGTATTCGTATTATTTTACATAACGCAACACTTATTGATGGCGATGGCGCTGTTGCTCGAGACTGCATCATCGAAATGCAAGGCGGGATATTTACAAAGGTCTCAAAATCTGCACTGGGTTTTCTGGAACCAGCTTCTCCCAACGATAGAGTTATTGACTTACAAGGTCGAATTGTAACGCCAGGGCTTATAGAGATGCACTCGCATGCCGGCGTTCGGGAGACACCCCAGCTATGGGCCACCGAAGACGTTACTGAGATATCATCTCCGGTAACACCTTGGGCCCGTGCAGTCGACGGCTTGAAGCCTCATGACCAGGCCATAACAGTTATTGCCAGCGGCGGTGTGACGAGTTCGTTAGTATTAACGGGGGCGAAAAACTTGATCTCAGGGGAAGGCGTTCTCATCAAGATGAAGCGAGCGGACTCGGTTAGTGAGCTTCTCATTAACACGACGGAAAGTGGCGGCAAGCCGCAGAGGTATTTTAAGATGGCTATGGGCGAAAACCAAAAACGACAGTTTCAATACATGCCTGGAGGGCCGTCGACGAGGTTGGGAGAATCGTACTGGTTCCGAAAGGCCTATGATCACGCACGGCAGTTGAAACAAGAACAGGATCGGTGGTGTGAAGCTGCCTCGACGGCGAAGGGGCTGGCATCGATCACGCATGAATACCCTCGCTCGCTTGAATGGCAGACACTAGTCGATGTCTTACGCGGGGATGTGCGTGTAAATGTGCATAGCTACGAGACCGAAGACATGTTAGCTATGTTCGACCACGCCGATGAGTTTGGGTTTAATATTACGGCGTTGCATCATGCGCTCCATACGAATCTAATTATGGACCAACTTAGAGATAGGGGTATAGCCGTCGCCGGCTTCTCGGATTGCTGGGGCGACAAAAAGGAGATCTATAATGTCAGTTCTCGTCTTCCAGCAATCATAGCTGAACATGGCATCCCTCTTGCTCTCACCCGGGACCACCCGGCGGAACATGGTCAATGGTTATTGTACGAGGCCCAGATCGCTCATCATTTTGGCCTCAGTGCGGAGAGTGCTATTTCATCTGTCATCTCAGTGCCAGCCCGCCTCCTAGGTCTTGATAACAGGTAAGTACAAGAGCATGTTTATGTAGGCATCATAACATTACATGGCCCGTCTAATCGAATAATTTGATATTAACAATCTCTGTAGGCTTGGATTTGTCAGGCCCGGCTACGATGGCGATTTGGTAGTATGGAACCGCCATCCCTTACAGGTGGGCGCTACACCCCTCGAAGTGTACATCGATGGGAATAGCGTAGTCCGGGCCTCGGACAGTTTGTGGAAAGCTTCGGAATCCATATCAGATTTAAAAGAAGCTCCTGTATCGCGACCCAGTGATACACCTAATAGTGCGTGTATACCAGGCCAATCTGACATTATCATCCGCGGCTCAAGAACAAGCTTCATTGGCGATGATGGACTGCGGAGTGAGTATCCCGAGATTGGGAATCTGACAATCGTTGTACGCGCCGGTCGTGTCGTTTGTGTTGGCGAAAGCAAATGCGATACCGCAGTAAGAGAGGCCATAGAAGATCAAGTTCCCTTGATAGATGTGCAAGATGGGCATATACTTCCCGTAGGTCGAAACAATCTCTAAATTTCATTACAGGAGTCTTACCGAGAATTAGGGCCTTACGATTATCACGCGGCAGCACGGCTTAACTGAAATGCATCAAGAACCATCAACATCAGACGGTTCTTCAACAGGCGAGGAATATGAAAAGCCTCTCTCAAGCCGATTCGGTATTAAGTTTGACGGCATACATCTTGAGAGGTCTCACCGGAGCGGCGTAACTCGAATTGTAACGCCACCGTTGACAAATGGCTTCTTCCATGGGATTAGCACGTTATTCCGGTCAGGGGCGAAAAGTGGTATGTATATCTGTTCCGTATTTCAGTCCTAGCTGCTGGACAGCAAGGCAGCCGAAGACGGCGTTATTAGGTTGCGAACCACTAATTACTCTCAGTCCTTGACGATGGCGCTATTGCCGAACCGAACGCTGCTCTACATTTCACGATTGGACATGAGGCTAAATGTAAGTATTCACTGCCCCCTTTCCTTCGTCCGCTATTCGTAAAAGCTAAGTTGACCACCCAAAATAGCATTTCGAACACCTTCTATAACTTCTCAAATAAGTAGGCTGCGCGACCTCCTTACGGTGGACAAACATCTCCACCCTATTTACGGTAGCGCAGCGAAGGGCGATATTGCTGTAGTTATCCACACAAATAACAAAGATGTCATTGCACATATGGTAGCTCTAAAAAAGGAGACAGGTGCTCATATCGTCATAATGGGAGGATCAGAATCACATCTCCTAGCTACCGAGCTTGCGGAAGCCGACGTGCCAGTTATCGTAGCACCATTTTGGGGGTGCGAGCCTCTCTTCTGGGATGCTCGCAACTGCTTACCAGGCCCTCCCCTAACAGACCGTTTGGGACCGCAGGTGTTGATAGATGCAGGCGTCAAAGTCGGCATCTCCAATTGGGATAACACTAATAACCATATTCGTAACAGCATCTGGGAGGCTAGTTGGGTTGCAGGCCCGGGAAACCGGAGTTTAGCGCTGGACCTTGTGTCTAAGAATATCGAGGATATCCTGAGGCTTCCGCGTAGTAGGGATTTTGTGATATACGAAGGGGACCCGTTTGAGTTTGGGGCGCGTATCGCCATAATCTTTGAAGAAGGTAAAGTGCAGAGATGTTATCCAGATGTCGACTAGAGTTGATATTAGAAGTGTTCCGTACCATGTAACCTACATAATACCTAGTTAATACAAAGTATAACTAATAACTACCTACCTACCTAATGCATATATATTCAACATGTACGTATCGCCGGAGTTGACAGATCTAAACTGTGTGTCCAGGTTAAAGACACTGTACTTGGAGTTGAATGGATTTCATATCGGCTCTTCCGAGGGTCGGACGCTCAGTTAGGCGATCGGGGAGTTGGCTTCCCATTTCGGGTGCACCGGCGGTACGAGCCGTACGAGCCATGGAACCCTATCGGATGGAGCACCCGCTACGACGAAATTCACATGTGTTGGACTAATACATGGCTTTAAGGAAACTAGATTCTGATGTGCTTGACTAACTACATATGTATGTATTAGCAGGGTCTGGTTTCTATGTATTCGGAAAGTTACTCGGGAATTATGTATTGTACTATTGGTAATCATTTTGGTTCGTAATGCTGAACGAATCGCGTCGTTCGTTCTCAGTATGTATGTCGTAACACGATCTTACCACGAATAACTTACGTTAATACGCTTTGGATTTACATAATATATTCATCTAATAAATATAGCATCTCTGGCTCCTGACAAAAGCACAAAGAACTGACTTCTACCCTCCCTGTTTCCCTACATACTTGTCCCTCCAGCCATATGCTTTATACGTAACGTAGCTAACGTACTTTACAATTATAGGTTAGTTATGTCTAGAGCTCAACTCGTTATAACAATAAACCCATGACTTCTCGCGTCTCGAACAAATCGAATAACGATAGCCGCGAAATCAGAATTGCGTAGATTTGACCACCAAGCCTGTTTCCGTTCCTACCCTCGATGGTTATTTATATCACCCCGAAGCATACTCTGCGTAATATGAGCAAGATAGCTGAGCCTTATATTTGGGGTTACAACCGAATATGAATACTGTCCTTAGCCTGCCCTTCGAGTGTTGGAGAAAGCAGGATATAGAGTTCCTCTCCCGGCCGTATTGTATTCCTCCATTACGTCGTGCCGTCAGATGACTGTTGAGTCAGTACGGTATAGGAGCAAGTCTCGAGAACTACAACGATATATCCTAGCCAGCCGTAAACACCGTGATTCGGTTTACCCTTCTTCGATCATTAATACAACTACATTAGATCATACCTTGATATCCGAAGTTGTTTCAACCCTTGAAAAAAAGAAATACGGCGCATAACTACGAAGAAAGTAATAGGCGGTTCCAATACCAGGCAGTGAAAAAACATTCGTGAATTAAATCTACGGGGTTTCCTAACACTAGGTAGGTAACCGAGGGGAGTTACCAATGCATGTATGGCAGACTCTTTCTTCCTTCGTAGACCTGGACGACGAGTTGAAGTTCAGGGGCCGTCGCGATTTTCCTACATGTAGCCAATTATTACAAAACAATTACATCCATCCCCAACTGCGGCTAGCAACGTGTCTCAAATGCCAATATTGCAATTCCGACCCTCCCAACTTGGTCTCCCCATTTGCATGCCGTCGATGCAATTTATTTTCCACGCGTTCATTTCTCGGGCTGCGTGTCGAGATTCTCTCGACCGCCGCTGAGGCGTGACGATCGCCGGGTAGGCACAGAAGTACGTCTTTGGGCGTTCTTTCGCGAAGACGGAGTTTCGGCCTGGGGTCGAGCTTGAGGGACGGCGAGCGATGAAGCTTTATTGGCGACAGGCTGGCTAGGGACTGCAGCAGACTGTTCGTCGTGGGGGTTGTTTGAGGTGGCGATTTTCTGGGCCTTCTTAGCAGGGCGTCCTCGTGGTCGTCGTCCGGCTTGGGACTTAGCTGGGTACTGTGTCTGAGCCTGAGATTGAGCTTGAGCCTGGGTTTGAGTCTGAACTTGGGAGTTTCCGGCTGATGTTCGTTGACTGTTGGCGCTTGAGCTTCGTCTTGTGCCAGGCTGTTCCTTGGGTGTAGCGGGCGTGGCGACCTTCTTGTTGGTTAAGACAATACGTACTGGACGTTTCTTCTGAACTTCTGGTTGAGTCTGTTCTTCATCCTGAGGCTGCGCAAGCACCTCTTCTTGAGTCGTAGCATCTGGATGAGGTACGGTGTTGGATTTCTGCAACTCTACCTCTACGCTTCTCACTAGACTCGCAGCGTTCTCTGTGGTAACCCCAGCAAATCTAGGCTGTTTCTGAGCCATTGGCTGGGCCTTCAAACGGGCCTTCAGCTGAGCTTTATTTTCATACCTAAATTTGGGTTTAGGCTGGACTTGAAGCTGAGGCTCTTTTGGGGGCGTAGGTGTAATGATCTGTGTGTTTCCCTCTCGAGTCTCTCGAGTCTCTGGAGTTTCTGACTGAGCTAGTGGATAGACTCTAGGTCCGGTCTTCGGGATTTTCTGCGGCAACTCCTCGATCGCGTCATAGGGTTGCTTTCGCTTTCGATCCTGTGATGCCCCTATTAGCGCTGATGTAGCGGTATTTGAAGGGCCATATGAACTGTTCTCATCATCTTCCTCCATCTCTATATTGTTCTGGGCGGTGTATTGAGTAGCATCATTGCGAGTAGGAGGGTTTGCCACGGCTTGTTTCGATGCGTTCTTAACGGTGTAGATCGGGACAGATTTAATTGTAAATAAGGAATGGGGATCCGGATTCCTCAGGGCCTTGGTTAGGTCATACTCTCCATCCTCGCAGGTTATTCTCAACCCACCGTTCCGTATCGACAATCGATGGAGGCCTGTTCCGACTGTCCGGGGGAGCATTTTCCCATCACGGAACACAACCACAGACTCTTTGAAATTAATCCAGGCTATGTCGCTTGTCGCTAGATTTACCCTTCTGTAGTTATCAGCATGGACAGCGTGTTCGGGTGGTACAACTATATACTCCCCACCACGGCCAGGCAAGCTTTCTCCGTCGCTCTCTCTTGTGTGAGGTGTATCGAAGTTCATCTTGTAACCGCTCGGGGATATAACTGAGTAACCTGCTGGTAGATAGAAGTGTAGAAGTGCCCTATGTCCCTTCTGGTGCAATTCTCTCGCCTCCCTATCTCCAGTTCCGGGTAAAAGGCATTTGGCATCCTTCCGAGGCTGTAGCAGTAGCTTAGGGTGCAAGGAAATGGAACTGGTATTGTCGGCTAGGGAGCTGCGCAGAATGAGGTTATCCTCTAGTGCTCTTTCTACGACCCGAGTACGGTATGAAATCGCATCATCGAAGAAGCTTGTATTCGAGTAGGTGTGTAGTCGAGAATCGGAACTGTCTGTCGAGTAAGGTCTTGAAGGTTGGCGCGTTCCCTCGTGGCCAAGATGCGTTGAATTCTGGCTAGTAGGGAAGTCAGCCATCAAAGAGGTTGGATGCTTAGGAGAATTGTCGCATATAATGAACTGGTGTAACTCAGAGAATGCTGGAAAGGGTGGGTTGATTATAGTATACTTGCCGCCTTCGAGGAGTTTCTTTATGCCCTCGGGACTAACCACGACAACTCCAGCAGGTAATCGAAAGGACTCGACAGTTGAAAAGAATTTGCAAGTATCAGAGAAGGCTGCTTTCATGATCTTGACGGAAATAGCGATCGATTCTGTTGAGAGGGACAAGACGCGCTTGGCGGTTGAGTTCTGAAATCTCCTAGCATGCGAATCCTGATGCTGATCAGGCAAGAACTCGACAGTTGGTTCTTTGTATTCCAAGGATTCTGGGAGAAGTTCGAGTTTCAGGTCGCTAAAATCGATATCCAGCGGCCAGTCATTAATACGTCTTGCATATTCCTTAAGGGGTTCTGAATACTTCTCGAGCCCTCTGGAGTGGAGGTACTTGCATCCGTAAGCAACTGATTCTTCGTTCAACGTATGAGATGCGGGCTCCGAGTTATTACGTTTTCTGAGGAATTCTCTAACCTCATTGCTAAATAGCTCAAGCGTACGGCAAGCCTCTTGGAATGATCCAAGGCTATCAGATAGCACCCTTAGAATAACCTCCTTTACGGAGAACTCGACGAGTGACCAGTAGGGCGTAGATGAGACTGGGAAGAATACAGTCTTTGTTGGTACCAGAGCTTCAAGCATAGACAGACTCACATGCGAAGGTTGACCGGGGAGTCTTGCATCGAGAGTCAGATTGCTAAAGTTGTGTGGGTCAAGAATAGGGATGTTCGAAGTGTTATCCCCTGGGACATAGGATTGAGATATACTCTGTTGTGAGTGTTCCTGTGCAGCCAAGCCAGCGCGGCCATCTGCTGTAGGTATTATTTGCAAATCCATGGAGCTTCCTTTTGGGAATGTGCCACCATTAAGGTAATACGTTAAGCGCACTTGCAAGCAATGCCGAGGAAGTTGTTGTTTTGGTGTCTTTTGTATCCTGTGTGATATGCCACAACAGTTGCAAATAGGAAAAGAAAAGTGACGAATAATGAAATTCGAGGTTGGGAAGGTGCAGGTTTCCTAAAGTAAAGCAGGAGCCTGTGTGTTTTGGGCGATGCAATACAATGCCAACTGGTCGACTAGGAGGAATTTTGGCATAAGAGGGAAGGCTTTGCCAATATCTTGGAGTGGGCAATATGATTGAATATTTCTTGCAACTGCTAATTACAAGGCAGCCATGGGAGACCCGTAAATCTCTGAGGGAGCTGAGTAAACAGTGGCTCTGGTTGTCACGAGAAACTTCAGAAGAGAGAGTTGAACAGAGGGGTATCCTAGGCAACCTCAGTAATGGCATGTGCATGAAAGGTGAAGTTGTAGAGTACGACTGATCAAGTACGCAATGTCTAACGAGTTCACGTCAAAAGGCCCGTATATATTCCTCAGATGCAGTAGCCTTTACTCCTAATGATTGAACCGTAGTATCGCCTATATCCTACTTACCACTTGGAATTTTTTAGACGAATGTATAATCTAGGGAAGAAATCGAAGGACACACGGTAATATTGAATTTCCCGTGGCATAAACGTTTGATGTGCTTATATTAACACTACTAGGCACTTAAGTTATGAATTTGGAGTGTTGTTCTCCTTGGGAAAGCCATTTCTAGATCTAGATAAGGGGGACACAACCTCTGTTCTCATTATCATGTAACTATATCGTTATCCCGTCATGTACGTAGGATTCCTACTTACTACCTATTTTGCAATTTAAATAACATTGGTAATTATATGAAGCCTATCGTATGTATCTAGAATTTGGACACTAGGCAGATTATTTTAGAGGTGCCTCAGAGCCATAGATTGTGATTATGTAGAAGCTTCTAACGTAACCAAATGTGACGACTAGTGAGTATGGGCTTTACTCTAAATGATACATTAAGTACCTTCGACATGCTCCTATTTTGACAAGCACCATTGAATTATGCCCTGTCAGGACGTGGGCCTAGGAGGCATGGAAACAACTTTGTTGTTCTGCAAGGAACTCCAAACCAGGTACTTAAATAGAAGTTTATGGTCATAAATGCTGGTATTCTTTGTTCTAGGTTAGATGTCTCATCTAGAATCCTAACAGCTTCACTGGGCTGCTGGGTCAATGACTGACATACAGCTCCACGATGATATTCGTTATTCAATACCTTTTACGGAGAAGCTGCTACACTTGCTAAGAATTGTGCGCTGCTATTAAGAAATGTTCTTGGGATAACACTGTGATTATTTAGTAACATGGTATCTTAATATTAAATGTGAAATTATTCCTTTGACTTGGATCTTGTATTCATCCACTAAAAAGTGTGGCGGAAATGTGAACGATTTAGGGGTTGGCGGAGAACACCTCGCAAGATCCAACATAAAGCTGATTCATACTTTAGGTACTTAGGTTTGGCGCCTGCACATTTCTGCAACAATAGACACTTGTAATAAGCCAAGCCGAGAATTGCGAGATATTTTCGTGATAACAATGGTCTCCTAGTGACTTTGTTGTGGTTATAATACTTTTGTACCTTTTGTACCACTGCTCCGTCTATGTAACTATCAACCGTCAAACGTCCAAAAAAGCATGGGTATAAGCCATCCAGTACGCCGTTGCTAATTGCCATAGCTTGATGAAGCCAACCATGCCGCCTACTACCCCCAACCTGATGCTCGATGCATGCTCCGATGAAATCAATAAAGCAATATGATTGGTTCTAACTAGTTTCTTCTTCCATGTCATCGTCCACCATGTCAACAAACGGAACAAATCTTTCGCGGTCCAGAAAGCGATCATAATCTAGTGCTTTAGACTTGTCAGGTTCCCCCATCTCCTCATCTTCGTCGAACGTGGCTTCGATGCCCCTTTTTAGTTTGTGTACATTGCTCGAGGCACCGTTTACCTGTGTTGAACGACTGTCAAGCTCATGTCGGTGTACGGTACGTTGTGCGGAAAGTAGATCCTCATACGATTTGAGAACGAACCTAAGATCGTCGTTCAAGCTGACGCAGAAGCGTTTGAAGTGGACAAATTGGCAAGATTCAACCAAACTTATACCAAAAACAGACATGAGGTAGGCCACAACAACACCAGCAGAACGATCATTTCCCGTTTCGCAGAAAACCAAGACTTTTCCTCTTTGAAACTTGTCATGGGGAATTGCCATCTTTCCATGCTCAACCTGCATCTGCGTGTTGTTAATACGTTGCCCGCGGAAAACATTAAGCATGTGGTCATTGATGGTTCGAACGGCCGTGGGAAAGGCGCGAATAAGCTCATTATAACCAGAAACATCAACATATTCGAGCTGGATGCCAAGTTCTTGCGCCACCTTACTGGGTGCCATTAGGTGCATGACAGCCATCTGGGAATCCCGTGCGGCCAGTAGCATTGTGATACCTGTTTTAAGGAGCCACTTGCGATCTCGAGCGATGCTCGAGGGGCCGAGGTAGAGGAAGTCGAGGATGGGTTGTGCGACACGCCGATTCTCATACGCCCAATTAAGAGCCGAGTCCTGAGCTAGCTGCTCTTTGTGGTTCTGGGTAATGATCTTAAGGTCTTCGGCGCTAAGTGAAGCCGGATCGACCTTTTCGTAAGTTGGCACGATTTTGATATGCTCATTTGCACAATGTAGAGTGGGGGCGGGTATCACGATAGAAGGAGGACTAGGAGGACGCATAGAGTAAGGTGCTGCTGGAATAGCACCATGCCGGTGAGAAGTTAGAGGGTCCATGTAAGCTATTTTCAATTGGACATCTTCTTGCTCTGCGGGTTAAAAAATGGCTTTGGTTGAGATACTCGAGATTGTCAAGTCTTAAATCCAATATTTGTCAGTTACTGTATGTGCAGGATAATAAGTTCGATCTTTGGATGAATAAGAATAACTGATCGTGGCGGAGAAAAAAACTTATTTTAGCTGGGAAGTGAGTGGGAATAGATTGCCACACGATATTGACAAGAAAATGATAAGCGCGAATGCACGCGGCTGATGAGACGAAGAAACTAAAAACGAAGACTAAAAATGGGAGAAAGCAACTACACCTCAGGGGATTGTGCATCTGCACAGGCACCACCTGTCAGGCAATCATATGTATTGTACAATATGTACCTACATGTATGTATGGGATGAGGGGGCGGTAGGTACCTGCTCAGGTACTTGTTTGCTTCTAAAATGCATGTACATATTGTACATACCCTAGGTACATTAGGTACCTAGGTAACAATCATGTCGCACCTATCTTTATCTTTAGGTGAATGAACCTTACCTATGTACCTAACATATGTAATGTAGGGCATCACCATCTTCAATATAAAACAGGTACCTACCTAGGTACCTGGGTTAGGTAATTTCAGACAAAAACCGATTGAATTTATTAACAGCTAGCCTCGTCTTCTTTAGCTAATCTTCGGAACTCATTGGAATCTACGTCTAAGTTATTCTGAACAAGTCGAGATAATAATAACAAAACGAGAAACTTCAAAAGTGGATACGTTTGTTCTCATATATTCTTGTATATTATATCTTAAAGCACGTTAGACAGGCAAGATTCATACAAATTAGAGCCATTAGGGCCACTAGGGCCACTAGGGCCACTAGGGCCACTGAGCCACTGAGCCACTGATACAAGCTCGACGAGCAAGTAGATACAACTGTTGACCTTTCGATAATCGCTATGGAGCCTCGCTAGTACCAATATTACTCTCCCTGGCAAGCGGCGAAGTAAATTCCGGTGTGACGGATCGCGACTCGACGCCTGGCCTCTTCGGTCTGGAGCTGGTTGAAAGGTGCTTCTTTCGTCTCTTTTCAGAAGTAATCGAGGTTATGCTGCCTCTCCTACTACGGCTACCTTCCTCCGACTCCACTGGCGGTGTAGGACTTCGCATTGATCCAGCCGAGTTACTAGCTCTCCGGAAACTACCACTCCTAGCACGCTTATTCTCTTTCGATAGACCGGCATGTCGATGATGTATGGTTTTCTCTGCATCACCTACCCCGGAGCCATGTGCATGTGCCTTGTCTTCCGCTTTCGGGCCTCCTGGTAGCCACCACAACCAACCGTTTTGCTCCTTTGCCAACTGCCTTTCGCGGGCTTTTAGTTTGGCTCTTAATAACGCTCGGCGTTCGTTCTCTCTCTCCCAGTACTCGCTTCTGAAAAGTTCCCAATTTTCCCGGAAGTGAGGCGAAAAAGGTTTGGGCCATAGTAGAAGCTTGACGTAGTCTCCCCCCGGCGATAGGTCCTCCTCGTGGCCTCCTCTCTCTTCGTCCGTGCTGACGAACGGGAGTGGAGGGTGATCATGCCGGCCGAGATTTAACTCTCGATCAACTTCGCGTAATATCGAAGGTTCCACAAAGTGATACTGGCCAGCCCTGCTAGAAAAGGCGCCGTAGGTGAAGAAGAAGCATATGAACGACACGAGCTCAACCCACCAAGACCTTTTGATTACAACCAATTTACAGTTGAATCCGCGCAAGCCTCTATTGCATATGCTGAACCAGCGCCGCGGCCACCTAATACCACGCTCCCATATACCAGTCGCCCAGACGAGTATACCTGTGACTATTCCGCTTATGAAGCACACTTTCTCTGTCATATCCACGACCCAGTATACCGAGCCGCCAACGCCGCTACCGTCTTCTCGGGGTGCGAAGAATAGAGCATATCCAAATCCCGCTAACCACAGACACAGAAGGCTCAAAAAGAAGGTGTGCTTTCGTCGACGGGCGCGGAGTTCGAGGTACTGGGAGCGTAGCGAAGCCTCTAGTATCAGCATGTTGAGGTAGATCATGGAAGGCGAGCTTGGCGTGTGCTTTAAAGGATCGCCGGGTTTCTCTACACCGATAGGGCTCGTGCCCATTGGCGGGGATTTCACGTTCTGACCGGGTTGAGGGGCTCCCTTAACGATCGAGTCGATAGTGTCGGCCATGTTTTCTTCGTGTCGGTCGTGATCGTGATCGTGATGGCTACGATACGAATCAAAGGAGGTAGCTCGGGACGTAAGCCCGCATCGACGTAAGTAAAAGATTATCGGCGCATTTAGGAGTGCAAGCTTGATTTGTCGTAATCTCGTAAATTAATAGGAAGAATTTAGATTCGTCAGGTTGTCGTAAGTTGTCGTAATTACATAGGTATACTGTAGGATTTGCGGTCTCTAGAGTGCCGCCATCTTTTTTATTTATTTTTTGTTGACGTAGGAAATAATAGTAGGTTAGTAGTTGTTGCAGGTGCTAGTAGTAGCGCTGTGATGGGTTATCCCCCCACTGTGACAGCTGATATTGATAACAGCTGAAGCTTTAGGGTATGTGGTCATAGCTCTATCCCGAGGACCTAATCCCTGCCATCCACCTGGTGCGGGGTGCTCGTGATATTGCTCCTATTAACATACCACTTAGCTTAACCTTACCCTAGAAAAGGTATTTATAACTACCAGATAATTTACAAGGTATACATTAGGTAGTTATATTAATATTAAATGGAAGTTCAAAAAGTAAACAGCTTTTTTATGAACAAATATCTAAAACATAGAAATTTTATATCCAACTCGAGATTTTGGGCAGACCCATCTCCTAAACGTCTCTCCGAACATACTTAACTAACACATGCAGCTCCGCAGTATCAGCCCATATGATCTCTGTAAACAAGAGCCTGACACAGCACATGCAGGACTCCTAACTTATATCGAAATAGTCTCCGTCCTACACCCCGCGGACACATAGGTACTGACGTATCCCGGTGCCGATCTTGAGAAGAAAATGCCTAGTTTATATTGTTGTACAGCACACTACGTCGAACATCAGTCGATAATCTGTTTTCTAGGGCTTCTTACGTTTTTTTCCTTCGTGGGGCACACAAGAATGAAGCATATTTAAACTCGATGGACCCGCTGTTAGTTAAGGTGATTTTGTCTTTCGAATACTAATATTTGAACATCCCGAAGATCGATCGATTAAGTCCATTATACCTTTCTTTATGTACAGTACCTATTATGGATCCAAGCAAATCTTCTTCATATACCCACGCCTCGAACAATACGAGTTCCAAGGCTCTTAAAGACCAAGTGCCTAGGTCCGCTAAGCCGGCTTCTACCAAACTTGCTGCAAGGTCGATCTATGCCGACGTCAATTACCCAGATGTCTTGCCTAACGGATTTCAGCCAGGCAAGAAATGCATGCTCTTATAATGAGAGGCTATATGAAGAGCATCGGATTCATTAGCAGGTATAAGAGGTGTTTTCTTAGCCTTATTATGCCTGAGACCCATAATAGTTCTCACGAATTTTGGCTGTGGCGGTAGTTATGGCTCCATGTAAGGGGCCTAGTGGTTTAGTTGAGGCTCTCTCGTGACTTATTAGTCCCGTTAGGAGTGTTTTTGAGGCCGCTAGATCTAGCGTGAAGTTTTGTCGTTTGAGGCCTCGCAACGCTCTTCACGATATGCGAAAGAACTCATCGCCTAGGGGATTTGGAGTTACATATATTCGCCTAACCTAGGCCCGACAAGTCTAGTCTGGATCCCCGGTATTGACGACGCCATTAGCCGCCAGATAAAATGGTTGGAGTTTCGGAATCCCGCCCCTTACGATCTATTGGGCCGATCGAAAGTAAAGACAATCAACCGACTGGTATCACAACTACATATCGCAAGAAGAGATATCTATGACGAAATATAAGGTGGCGAAAGTTTTCGAAGACGGAATGGGAAACGAGTTATCAGTCAAACTCAATGAAAAAAAAGGCTATAACGAAATATCAGTATATACGAGCTATTTAAAGCCCAGTTAAATGTCGATCAACAAAGCATTCATACTGAGAGATCTAGGAAAGTGACCGTTGAAGTAATTGTTCCAGTTGCCCACAAGTGCTAGTCGTATCAAAGTCCGATGCAAGCGCTTTTACCTGATTCAGCTAGGTTGGCACGGGCTCTTAATAAGGAAAAGATCTAGATAATTCTACAACTAGCGGAGTTAAGATCTTAGGGGGTTCCCGAATGTCTAAATCCGCATTGTCACGCTAAAGAGACATGGATTAGCAGATACAGTTTTTATCAACGATTTGGCAGGATTCTCAGTGTTCTGGCGTTTCTGCAACAATTAAAATGGATGATTAGGTTATATACCTACCTAAGGTATAGAAGACTGACTGATAAACTTGGGAATTCGAGTCAATGTTTACTTAAGAGAAGAGCTAGATATATGAATAAGCCATTCGATGTTTAATGTACAATAGCGGGATATTATGTAAAGCAAGGGTCGGCACGGGAGGACATAAAAGCCGAGCTGAAGATAAACTCTCCGTTTTTAATGTTCCGAGTCCAATCCATCCAATCCACCCAACAGATTCATCTCCTTCCCCTGACCATGTCTCTTGACTCGTTCAGCCCGTAGCCAATCTGAGCTGAGAAGCCCTGGGATCCCGTCTAACCCGGCTTACGCGACTAATCTTAGAATCAAAAGCTACTCGTTACTTTACTCATAACTTTACTCTGCCACAGGCGCAGGCGGGAGTTCCTGCATGCAATACACTAACCTACATACCTACCGCATACCTACCACCGCGGATGGTCGGACTTCGCGCATTAGGTAGTTCATACATACGTACGTGGTCGGTACAGTGGCTACCTAGTGGCTGTGTGTGTACCTATTATCGCGTCCCATGTCTCGGATTTTGCCCCCCCGTAATTATATAAGAAAAGGCGTAGCCGGCTTTGCCACCCTCCGGTATGCTCAAAGGTTCAACTTCAATTATTGTGCAGTCGAGGAAGCTTGTGACCACTTTTGCGCGGACGCAGCACGCCGACAATACTGTTCCCCCAGTGAAGACCAATCTACCCCCTGAGGAACCTATTCCAGTCCCATCCAGCATACCAATAGGACGACTGCGGCGACCAATGTCGGCATCTCGGAGAGTCAGAGAGCAAACGCCAGAAGGAACAAGGGTTTCTAAACCGCCTTCTACGGCTACGGGGATGTTTCCTTTAGGGTATAAAGAAGCTGCATCTCAATGGGTACGTCCCGTCGTCTTGTCTAATACTTCATCGTATTATATATTATTAGATTTAGAACCTACTCTGACCAAATTGTAGTGGAACAGTATAACGCCTACGATCGCTGAACGTAACGTGATATCATGCATTCCGTATCTTCGAGAAGCCATCGCGTCAGGTACGAGCTCTGCGACAGATGTCCCGTCGGCGGAACATCCTGGTGAGGCTCAGACGTCGACGAAAAACGATCCCTACGGACCAAGAATATGGAAGTCGACAATGGTAGAATTGTCTGGCAAGAATAGGGGTCTTAACGAGTTTTCTGTAGAACGTGTCGGAGAACCCGTCGATGACACACTCGTCATGCTTCACGGGTATGGAGCCGGGCTGGGCTTCTACTACAAAAACTTTGAGAATCTTAGCCGTGCCAAAGGCTGGAAGCTCTACGCGCTGGATTGGCTAGGGATGGGCAACTCCACAAGACCACCATTCAGGGTCTGCGCGAAAGATCCCGCGTCAAAGATCACAGAAGCGGAGAATTGGTTCATAGACGCGCTGGAGGAATGGAGGAAGATTCGAAAGATCGAGAAATTTACTCTTCTTGGCCATTCTTTAGGTGGCTACTTGAGTGTTTCCTATGCGCTCAAATATCCTGGTCACGTAAATAAGCTCATCCTCGCTTCTCCAGTCGGTATACCTGAAGATCCCTATGCTATGAATGCCGACATGCCAGAACCAATGGAGTCGACGTTCCAAGACGAGTTTACCATGGACCAGCAATCAACAACAGAAAGCCACGGTATTGATGGTCTCAATGGTAATAAGAAGATGCAGCAGCAGGAAGCTAAGAAGCGACCGTATCCTTCATGGCTAGTCTGGTTGTGGGACGCCAACGTGTCGCCATTTAGCATTGTACGATTGGCGGGACCGCTAGGACCACGACTTGCTTCCGGCTGGACCTCTCGCCGGTTCAACCATCTTACTCCGGAAGAGAAGCAGACGCTCCACGACTACGCATACTCGATTTTCAGGCAAAGGGGAAGCGGTGAATATGTGCTACCTTATCTCCTCGCACCTGGTGCGCATGCGCGACGACCAGTCATCAACCGAGTCCACCGTATAGGTAGACAAGTCATCACCCCTGCAACTGAGACGGAACCGGCCGTAAAAGAAACGGGATTTCCGATCATTTTCATGTACGGGGAAAACGACTGGATGGATGTAGCAGGTGGTCTTGCCGCGGAGGAGAAGCTCAAGGAAGCGAAAGCCAAGATATTATTAAGCGCCACCGAAGAAGAGAGGAGGAAAGAAAAAGGCGATGCAAAAGTTATCATCGTCAGCCGGGCTGGTCATCACCTCTACCTCGATAACCCAGACGAGTTCAACAAATACATCCGCGAGGAGCAAGAAGATACGAGACGACGGACGTTGCAAGAGAAGGCTCTGCCGTAGGCTTTCATGTCTATAAATAATGGGGTGGTGGGATTTGAATGCATTGCCTGGCGTTTTGGTTGGATATTAGACTTGGAGCTTTTGACGATAATACGATACTAATGATCAGAAGCTAGCTACATTGTACACTATTCGCGAATTATAGAACACCAATATTATATATCTATATATCTAGATTTATATCCTTGTTAAATACAGCTATTAGTATTAGTATTACTACTACATACTCGTTATCTTTTATCTCCTCAAGCGCAAGATAGGTTAGGTAGACTAACTGGTGATTACCATATTTAGACTTACATGGCTTATAGGCATATATTATTATAATACATAACTCTCTACGGATCCGTATTATTCTAAGTCGACAAGAAATTCTTAGCCTTGGATGATTGTGTAACCCTTAAGATGTCTCGGGATTACCTAAGTGATTACATAAGGAAATCCCTAGATAGAGATACCAGATAATAAGATTGATTAGATATTTGATTAGATACCTGGTATTTAGAGTAGTAATATTACTTAACCCATGCCACTTAACAATCAACGACCCACACCTCCGAACATACATCTCCGGGTTCATTCCGCCGTCATTCTTGCTTCCATTGCGCTTCGATACTCGAGTGAGGCGAAGTTAGTACTCGCACCTCAAAATATGTCAGAGGAGATAAATATTTCAGCATTCCCAAAATTTAACGATCTGCCTATCGAATTGCGCCATAGCGTCTGGGAGCTGGCTATCCCGGACGATACCCCGGAGATATGTATCCCGTGGCCGTTGGAGGAGGAGCCAGTACGCTGGCCACACGACCACGTCGGCCATGTTAGGTCGACAAACTATCTACAGCCGTTTCTTGTGGACACATGTTTCCCTACTATTATGCATGTATGCCAGGAGTCGCGTTACTTGGCGATATCTCGGTTGCGATTTCGATATTCACACATAGCGGGCTGTCCCGTGCCATTTCGCGCATTTCGCCCTGACCTGGATATCGTCTATATAACCCTTTGTCGGCCTCCTACTGATATCAACGCAGTGCCTAGATGGGGTAGATATCCTCATGGCACGCAGCATATAGCATTAGACTTGCATACCATCAAGGACGGCAGTTTTCTCTGGATTCTGCTCAGCGACCCGTCCTTGGATCTGCGGACCATGTCTTGCATACTTCCCGCGTCTGAAGCTATCCTAGACACGGCGGTTCGGTTTCGGCCTCCGGTGCGACGGTGTCGGCTCCGCGAAGTCGGGAGACCTTCTAATGGCTCGGAGAACAACATCATCTATGTGGACCGCGGCTATGACAGGCGCATGACCGGCATGGGCCGCTACCTGGAGGAGGTACGAGACACAGTGAGCACCGAGTTCACCGAGGTCCTCGAAATCCAGGAGGTACCAGAGCAGTACTTGCGCCGATGGAATGATGCAGAAGTCAGGTTCGATATCGAACTTCTCGCGAGGACGTTCGAGGAGTATCGGGGCGGGCGCTGGGTACCTAGCTCAGAACACCCCGTTGGGTTCGACTGCCAGTCCATCATATTCCCCGCCTCGTGGCAAGCACTCGATAGTGCTAGAACCTACCGGGTCAGCGAGCTGGAAAGATGGACACCTTTGAGAAATCCCGAGACGTTTCGCGTCAACGATATCCAACAGAACGAGGTACCCTTTGAATGATCTTGAGAGAAGTTATATAGAATTAGCATTTTATTTATTACCGGTGGGGAACCCTCTGGATACTGTTAAATACTGCTAATAATGTCGTCGTCGCTTAGAAGTATATAGAAATCGTACTAATACTATTAGACTTGTGTTACAAGGGTCAGATGTCCCATACGGAGTTTAGCCCCGGCCCCGAATGAGATAACTGCCATCCTTGAAATGCCAAGAGGCGAATCTTGACTATGTATCATGGATCACTCATGTCACTTCTCACGGCCGATAGATAATAAGTTTGATTGGACAAGCTATTGGAGGTATTCCATAAGGGGAATAGCTATACCAGAACTTCTCATCAAACTTCGTTGGCTGCTATTTTATGAATGCCCACATGGCATACACTATTCCGAGAAACGTTGCATCCGGGAAGGCTAAGATTAACCTGAATCTAATAGGATCTTACCGTCGTGATTTCATCTATGATGTTACCTAGCAATAGCATACCGTCACCATTGCTTCTTCAAGGTAAACTCGATATAGGTAAGTAACTATTAGTAGTTAGTAATAAGTTTACCATATACTTAGAGCCTCTTAATATATTCTTAGCCATGACTTTGGGATACTCACTTGACTAAAGGAGTATTGTCCGAGATTTATTACCATAATCATTTTGCTTGAGTGCATAAAATCTCATCGTATCAACGGCAGTCATGTGTTCCGCCCCCATACACTACCACCCTTCCGTGTGGAGATCGGCTTTTGATGGAGGTCGCCGGATGTCTTTAACATAACTAGTCCGGATGCGAAAATAGTCGCAGCGGTTACGAGGGTTACGAGTAATACGAGACGGGGTTCATAAACACCGATTACCGCAGAAAGATTATTACGCTTCGTTGTTGGTCACAGTGCCTTGGAGATATAGCGTACTTTTAATATAAAACAGATCGCATCACGCCAATAGGAACATATTCAAATATTACCAGTCAGATAAATTTCATCTTTTAAAATATAGGGGAAGCACCGTGATTTAGATTGGAATGGGTCGTATTTGTGCAAATAGTCTCGGAGGATGCGAGATGAGGGGGTCTGATTGTTATTCAAGATGAATGCCGCTTAGTGCCATCCAGCTCACCAATGAATCACGACGCTAGAGAGCTGAATCGTAGTTCTTATGTTTTGCCAGTTCGAGACTCGGCCCGGAGTCCACATCAGGCAAATCCCATGTGGGGTACCTACATGTATAAAGTTATGCCATTCTAGCTCCGGGACGAAGCCGTATCCGAACGGACCATCCCTTGATATTTCCCGACTATGCTATATAAACAAATGGAAGCAGCACTTTTTCCAGGGCCTTGCTATCCCCTGTGTACATATCGCTATCCTTTCCATAAATTAGAGTTCCTTGAGCCTCAAGGTCCCTTCATAACAGCAGCTGTTAGGGAGTCAGATCATCACTAATATATAAAGAGTTGCCCGCGATGAGTACCGACATGACGGAGAAGGGCTCTATCAACACCACAACCCCTGATAGGGACTCGACAATTGGGACGGGATCAGAGCAAGATGTCGAGGCGGGTGTCGATAACTGTGAATCCACAGCCGATGAGAAGGATCCCGACGTCGTAGATTGGGACGGACCAGACGATCCAGAAAACCCGGCAAACTGGTCTGATAAGAAGAAATGGCTGAACATTGCTATCCTCTCTATAATGACCTTAGTAACGTGAGTAACTGTTAATGCTACCAAGATCCTCTCGATTACTACCTAGATACACCATACTAACTCACCACAGTCCGCTGGGCTCTTCAATGTTTGCCCCTGGTATTCCCGGCATCATGGTAGAATTCCACGAGACCTCTTCAACCATAGCTACTTTCCTCGTCTCGGTATACATCCTAGGATTTGCCTTCGGCCCGCTCGTCATAGCGCCGCTGAGCGAGATCTTCGGCCGTCGGCCCCTGTACATCTACGGCAACATTCTTTTCGTCGTCTTCTCCGTCGGCGCCGCCCTCAGCACCGGCACCGGCATGTTGATGGCTTTCCGATTGCTGATGGGTCTTGCCGGGTCGGTGCCTATAACCATTGGAAGTGGTAGCATTGCGGACATAATGCCCGTTGAGAAGCGTGGAAGAGCTATGTCTGCTTGGGCTTTGGGTCCCCTTCTCGGACCCTGCGTTGGTCCTATTGCTGGGGGTTATCTGATCGAGGCTGCTGGATGGAGATGGGTGTATTGGCTGATCGTCATTCTGGTAAGTTTACTTACACTACATATCACTTATTCTGTGAAATAGGGGCTAACATGGACATAGGGCGGTATCTTTATTCCCCTCTCCTTTTTCTTCCTCAGGGAAACGTTCGGGCCAGTATTAATCGCGAAGAAAACTCGAAGGCTCATTAAAGAGACTGGAAACCAAAACCTCCGCAGCAAATTCGCGGGACGGCTAAGCCCCAAGGAACAGTTCAAATTGGCTATTGTTCGGCCAATGAAGCTCCTCCTACTGACACCCATCGTGACTCTCATGTCGCTGTATGTTGCCATCACCTATGGCATTCTATACCTTCTTATCACGACGTTTTCCTTCGTCTACACCGAGAAGTACGGCTTCAGCGAGGGGGACAGTGGCCTGACGTTCCTTCCCGCCGGAATCGGCATGATGATCGGTGTTGTGGGTTTCGGACAGCTAACCGACTTGATGGTCCAGAGGAACAATAAAAAGGGGCTTGTCCATAGGCCCGAAGTCCGTATTGCGCCGGTGCTTACTATCCCTTGCGGAATCGCCCTACCTATCGGTCTGTTCATCTACGGATGGACTGCCAACTTTGGCGTACATTGGATTGTTCCTATGATCGGTGTCCTCGTCTTCGCCGCGGGACTTATGGGTGTCATGGTAAGTTTTATCCCTTAACTCTTCCCTGATTATAATAGGATGCTAACATTTCAATCAGTTCTGTGTCCAGAATTACCTTCTCGATACATACCCCCGCTACGCAGCATCCGTCACGGCTGCGATGACGGTCCTCCGATCACTCCTCGGTGCCCTTCTTCCTCTTGGTGGGCTCGAGATGTACAATGCATTAGGCCTAGGATGGGGCAACAGCCTTCTCGGGTTCATCGCGCTCGCGCTTATCCCGATACCGGTCGTATTTTTCATATTTGGCGAGCGTATCCGTGGGAGATTTAATCCCAGCTTATAAGGATGTTTATACCACTTGCATAGCTTGCATATAGAAATGATAGATTATAGACACCTAATGATTATTGTAAATAGCATGAATATGTCGAGTTTCGTCTTATTCAGTTTACGTAGGTCTTATTGGAAGCGTGATTGGTAGGATTTCGTGATCTCAATAGCTACAAACTACTGAAAAATCTCAAAGCATTTGATATTTAATGTAAATTATTATGAACATAGTAATTAAGTTTTCATGCCATGCTTCATGCTTTCTAGATACCGCTACCCTAATGTAAGATTCTACGTTTTCGGGGGTTCCCGGAGACTCGGATACGGGCGGGGCCGGAGCGGGGCCGGATAGCGTATAGTCTGGAGGTACCCCAGGTGTTGTTTCCAGTCGGATGATCTCTCAAGCAACTCTCGTGAAGCAGCGTCCTAATTAAGAGTAATTTCCAATTATATTTGCTAACTCGATAGACTATTATAGGTAGGGGCGTTGGCGAAACTGCCTTTGAAAGTTGGTTAACTAAGCATTGAAAGCTCTTGAGAACTACTACGTCATTAGAACCGGGGATTTTACTCAACTATTTATTTAACTGCCCCGGCTATGATGTAAACTATTCACTAATTTCCAAGTGTCGCCATCGACTATTTTCAATCTGTATATTGGTCTTTCTATGTACATATCTTTTACAGAGCAGCTTTTGAAAGGTAATAATGTCGATAAGCGATGACGATGACGAGTCCAAACGCTCACGTAGAGGGCCTCCGTCGAGAGTACCTATGCCGGATGCCGATTCGCCAGCGACCGAACTCGACTCATATTCGTCTTGTGAATGTCCTCTGAGCGAAAAGAACCACGACGGCCACCGACCGTGTACTCTCGACACACGACCATCTCAGATACGCGCAAGTGGTCGGGATGACTCGAACGGACTCTCGGGACCAATCTTGCGGACAGTATCACGTAGGGATACCGTACTATCTCGAATACGGTCCCGTCCGGAGGTACCGCCGTTTAGCCATCCGCTCGCGAAAGTGAAGACTGGACAAGAATCGCTCGTCGACTTCGACGGGCCGGATGACCCCTATCGTCCCATGAACTGGCCGCGGCACAAGAAAATAGCTACAACTCTGCTCTACGGTCTAGTTACCATGACCGCGACTTGGTCATCCTCATCCTATTCTGCCGGGACTCTGCAGATCGCAGAGCAATTCGGCGTCGGGAGGCAAACGGCAACGCTAGGGACCACTCTCTTCCTCGTCGGATTTGGCATAGGACCTCTGCTCTGGGCACCCCTTTCCGAGGTCTACGGTCGGCGCGTGGCAGTTTTGACGCCTATGTTCGTCTCTATATGCTTCTCGTTCGCTTCGGCCACCGCCAAGGACTTCCAGACTCTCATTCTAACGCGGTTCTGGGGCGCTATATTCGCCTCTGCTCCGGTGACGAATACAGGCGGCGTCCTAGGCGACTTATTCACGCCGGACTACCGTGGCATCGCTATGGCAGGTTACGCGATGGCAGTCGTAGGTGGCCCTACGGTTGGTCCCATCGTGTCGGCCGCCGTTGTAGTGCAGCCGGGCCTCGGCTGGCGATGGACAGAGTACACGACGGGGATGTTGCAGTCCGTTGTCCTATTGTTCGCTATCATCTTTATCGACGAAACATACCCACCGAGGCTTCTTGTCGCCAAAGCGAGACGGCTGCGACACGAGACAGGCAACTGGGCGCTCCACGCTAAGTTCGAAGAATGGGATGTGAACATTGTTGAACTGGCGCGGAAGTTTCTTATTCGTCCGATACAGCTTCTCTTCACGCCGATTTGCTTCCTCGTTGCCTTGTATGCAAGCTTCTGCTATGGTATTCTATACATGCAGCTCGGCGCGGTGCCTATTATATTCGGAGAGATTAGGGGATGGTCCCTAGTGTCGAGTGAACTACCGTTTTTAGCCATCTGTCTTGGCTCATTAACCGGTGCAATTATCAATATGTCCAACCAGCTATACTACAATAAGGCCTATCACGCTTCAGGCGACAGAGCAGTCCCCGAGAAGAGGCTACCTCCCATGATGCTAGGTTCGGTACTTTTTGCGGCTGGCCAATTCATCACTGGATGGACTGCAGATCCAACCGTTGCCCCCTGGATCGTCCCTGTCATCGGGCTTTACCTTACTGGATGTGGTTTTAACACAATCTTCCAAGCCGCGCTCAACTATCTCGTCGATACTTTCCAGATGTATGCAGCAAGTGCCGTAGCTGCTAATACATTCTTGCGAAGCTGCTTCGCCGCCGCATTTCCGCTTGTTGTGACGCCGTTATATCACAACATCGGGGTCGGCCCCGGGTCGAGCATCTTTGCTGGGTTTGCGTGTTTGCTGATTCCCGTGCCGTTTGTCTTCTACTTTTACGGGAGGCGGATTAGGGCTGCTAATAAATGGAGCAAACACAGCGTGTTCTAGACATTGTAAGGATTTGCGCAGCATTGGCGTTTAGGATGGTCTGGGTGTTGGCGCAAAGGAGGTTGATTCATCGTTCTTAAAGTATTTCCAGCGAACAGTTAGCATTGTAATAGCATCCTACCTTATAAGTTTATGTTACTTGTAAAGACTAGAGTCTCCGGCCATTATGCAGTTAGTAGTATATTTTGAGATTCGCTCTAAGGGATTCAAAGACGCCTTTACGGAAGAGGTTCGATTCTCTCGGGAGTAAAGGCTAAAAGTTGTCGGGCATGCTTTTAGTAAGGGACTATGCGTCGGCAACTAGGCAAATCCCGATTCTTTAGTAAACACGGGCTTGAGCATTGCGTCGCTACTAACATCATAAACACTATCTACTAGAACCGTGTCGGATCATCGACTTGAAACGGCAAACCCGGTGGGAGATCTTATGGAGACACAACATCGATATCGTTCCACTACCAAGAAACTCCGGCGTCTCGCTGGTGTAGCAAGTGGGCTGACATCGATTTATCTTTTTACAGAGTAATCTACAATGGGATGATCTCGGAGCTATAGCCGCTTGTCTTCCGTAACCGATAAAAATGCATCACACAACGTAGGCGCGCAGAATGTCCCGAAATATTATATCTTCGGCGGAGAAAGTAAGACATGCATTAGGTACGAAAAAGATGGAAGCTGCGGAAGAAAAAAAAAGCAATTGCTTAAACGATGCGGGGCCGAAAAAAAGAATACAAGCACGCGGTAAGCACGCGGTAAGCACGGGGGGATACCAAGGCACATTATTTTCGCCAGGGAAAGTGCAACAGAAAATAACATAGCGGATAGAATATAAATATCAAAAAGAAATAATAATCAAAAAAAAATTAGGGTTGCTTATCCCAGTGTACTGGGAAGCATCAGGAATTGAGCCCGATGCGGGGGTCGAACCTTTAAGGTAATGTTAGCATTGATGGTAAATAATCTCAGATGTTGAGGATTGACTTACCCGCAACCTTGAGATTAAGAGTCTCACGCTCTACCGATTGAGCTAACCGGGCAGTGAGAGGCGATTTGAATTTGAGGTATATAGGTAGTCTATAGCACGTTTGTGTGTTGTTAGCCGATACTGCACATGTGTGTTGAACCCTTGCCCCACTATGGAGGAGGTACCTAAGTCTTGCGAACCTCACATGTCTAGGTTAGGTACCTCTCTTTCAACTCCTTCAACTATGTACCTAATGTACGTCTTGGTGTCAGTATGGCAATTCAACATTTAAAAAGGTCAAGTTACGTAGAATATTCTACTTTTATACGTCCTTACGTATTTTTATATTACATGTCGCCGCTGTATAGCACGTGGATCTGGATTGTATACCATTGTAAAAACTAAGAGGATATTGTATCAGTTATGTTCCGTATATATATCTAGATGCATCCGAGATATTATAGCATCTCGCCGTGGGCCAGGACAGAATGAGAGCGTAAAAGAGACCATCTCTATTTAGGAAGCAATAGTCGATACTGAAGTCCCCCGTTCCTAATATTTTAGACGTGGTATTTAATATTATTATGCAGGACTCCTGGGTAGACGGATTTTGTTTAAATGGCTGGGCAAGTATCGTATAATATTCCTTCTCATAGGGATACCTTAGGATGGATTTATCTTATGAGGAACTATTTCAGGAACACTCCATAGTGCATTGAGAGAGTAGTGTCTTAGACAAGCCACTCTCGGTACGCGTGGTGAACTCGCATCAGCATACTCCGACGGCAAGCCCTAGACAAGATAACATAAGCGCCAAGTTCTAAGTATAGAATATTACCAAGGTCCTTGGGGCTTCATATTCCTTTCTTTACTCGAGAACTCCATATAATGATAATCAGATGAAACTGGTTCATGGCTGGAGCATCTTTTCATCCGGGTACTCGGATGTCTAGGCTCACCTTCCTGCCGTCTCTAATAAATTTATGCTGATTCTGGTAGGTATGGGATTTAATTAATTACCATACACGAGGAAGAATGGTTCTAGAAACTCTTACAAGTAGGAATATTTTATATTGACCAAGCTTGAGCAGCTTCCGAAGATGATTATTAGGATTAAACCTGTAACTCGACCCTCTGCACGTACCCGCATTGAATGGCCAATTGGAGTTGCTGATCGGAATTTAAACTACTACGCCGTGTCTTTCACTGACGTAGGTTAGGCACTTATTTTTAATCCAGTCGTAGTTTACCATGTGATCTGGTTATGCAATTTAACCATTACGCCCAATTGTTTCATTTGTTAATAACTACATGTAGTTGCCCTTTTTAATGTATGGCTTGCGTTGGGTACCTATTTTTGTGAAATTTCTATTTGTCGTGGCAATATCGCGAGGTCGCTTTCTACTATGTAAGTCTATCAATTGATAACTTCTAAGAGTGCCCGCTTCCCTGGTTAGCACTACTATGCAGAGAGTCTCGGTTGCTTCTTTTCCAGGAAGACCATCCCGCCCGATGCATGCCAGGATTGAAAGTGCTGACAATTGAATCGACCGTGTAGGAAGGGCCCTGATCTACCGGATGATCCTCAAATCACCGCAAGCTACTATCTCCACTGAATCATACGACTGCGAATACGGAAAATATTGCGGATGAAATGCGCATAATTCAACCCGTTTGTCAATCTAATTGTTAGAAGTTAAAGTATCAAAAAGGTATTTTACGAAATCCGATGGTAGCGCTTATATTAACGTATAGTGTATATCACGCGTCTGATGTAGTACGGCGTGCCGTTGACTATTGAGGCTCAAGCTACTATGTAATCAACGATTCCAAACTAGGTGCTGTTGGAAGGTGCATTGCTTAAACGCATAGTTATATAAGATTTCCACCAATTGAAAGTGGAGTATTAGAATCTTTTCCAATACATCCTTTTACCACATTATTCCACAATACCTACATAACTACCTATGTAGGGTCACCGTCAAGCTTTAGGGTACATAGACTTGTCAAGTCTGGGGTTCCCTGCTTTATATTACAGTCTATTTATGAACTCCCTGCTTTTTCAGTTCTCTATCCGGATGCTGTTGACGCCACATCTTACCGCGCGCTATGCTGGTTTTTCGTAGCACAACTACAAAATCAAAAACCCGACGAAAAGTGAAATTTCCGTTAGCCGCGCTACGAATAAATCAATCAGATAACTAGTTAAGATTGATCCTTTCTTTATCTGTCAATCTAAATAGGGGATGGTGGAATTAAGATTACCTACCACACACACACCTCTAAGCGAACCGATACTCCCCATCTCCCCACAAGTCCACAGGTAGAGATTTGATGATCATTTACCGATTGTGTAGCCCTGTAAGTGCCGTCGTATGCAGGTTGGTACCTGCAGTATGCAGGAGAATGCACAACAGGATCTGGGTACTACTTGATTTGATTAGCGGTACAACAGAAAGAATTTATCCTCTTCGTCAACTAAAAACCCGCAAGATTGATTAACTACAAAATATCTTGTTCCTCACCCTCCGACCTACGCCAGCCTTGCCCCGAGGAATAGGTATGTACTATTCGGTTACAGGGAGTTAAAATTACAAATAGACAAAAACGAAGGCGACAAGGGCCTGCAGCTTGGAATGCTAATAAGCAATTGATAGGTTAACAGGGGTTGTTGATGATAATTAGCCACTAAAATCGTCTTTCGAAAGCCACACGAACCAAAGGAGGACCATCCAGGGGTACAAACTGGGGAAACGTTACGCGCTAGAAGATGTCTATCATCTTTCAAGCGCCTGCCTCATTCTGCAAGAGCCACATAGATGCTCATGCTTTTCATGTCCTTAATACCCCCTGATCATTTTGATGGTCTAATAGTGGATAAACGACCGATTACAACGCTACCCGGCCTGTAGTCTATGCCGCCATGCCCCTTTCGACCATTCCCACTCCCATGCTAGACGAGTTCTGGTCCTTTTTCGTTCTTTCTCTGTTGTGAACCCTCTCACTCTTTCTGGCTCGTCGATTATTTGCTGGGTTTCCTCATGTTGCCCATGTTGCCCATGTTGCCCATGTTGCCTTCCTCTTATTGTATCAGTGAAACATTACCGAGTTCCTTTGGCAGGCCGATTCGATAATCTCTTAGCCCAGTCTGTAACTCTCCACTCATTCCTCCTAGCCATGAATGATAGGACAAGGGAGTAAGATAGTATATCGACCACCATGTCTGCCCCTCAGCCTCTGTCGAACCAGATCCTGCAAAACCACCCGCATCGGCCTTCCTTAACGGCTTACTCTGAGACTTCCCGTGCCTCATCTGATCTTTCTTTACTTCAGCAGCCGTTTCCCTCCCTCCCAGACCAATCCCTTGACCTTGACTCAACTCAAGCCCTATCGGGTTCGAGAAACACGAAGAAGCTTGTCATCGACAGCTCCGCCGGCCTACCGCCCGTCCGGTCCATTCGACGCAAGCCGTTGTCGTCGACCGCGTCACCGATCGCTACTAGGTATTCTTCAGGACAGTATCTCGCGATTGCGAAGGGGTTGCCTGGCCCAGACCACCGGTTCTCTCGCTCTTTTTCAGTTGATAGCCCTACCGTTTACGAGTTTCCTCGCCCTCCTGTTGGCCCGCTGGTTAAACCTGGATTGGAATCTCCCTACGATTTTATATTGATTCAGAGCAACAGAGAGTAAGTCAAGGTTTTATTATTCTACAATCCAACGCCTAATGCCCAATGCCCAATGTCGGTAATCTAAGTAGGATATTGTTAATTAATACTCAAATTTATCCAGGAAATCTCCCGAGATTCGCCATCCTTTAGCTTCTGTCGACTCCAGCCCGGCTGTCACGGCGGGTAAAGTCGAACGGCCAAGTTCTCAGGGTAGTAACCCTGCCTTTTCTCAAACACGTCACACTACCGACTTGTCGCAACACCACGAACAGACCGCCTATGACGATTTCTTCAGTGAAGAAGACGAGGATCCGCTAAGTGACAATATTCTCGACGGATACAACTCGGATTCGTCGGATAATTCTAATTCTAATTCTAATTATTCTACTACTATGTCGTTGCATATTACCCGGAAAACCACACCCCCACAGTTGAATCTCAAGTCAGACGATACATCGTTGACTCCAAAAGCCGACACAAACGACATCAAGTCACCCAATACTGATAAACCCCTACCGAAATCACCCGGCTCGTCAAAGCTAGGAACCTTCTTTGGCTGGACTTCGCCTTCGAATACAGAGGCGTCAGACAAAGGATATTCGCCTCTTCCATCACCTTTCAACTTTTCAAAGACAAATAGTGTTACCGATGCATCCCCAGTCACAACAATCGGACCACAATCACTACTGGACGCCCCCAAGGCATTGTTCGGATCTTCAAATTCAAGGGACTACTGCGATACTTACCTGGCAACACCACCAACCGGTGCGATACCACCACAATATCAAATTGAAGAAATGGAAGATGAACTAAAGGCCATCTCGGCTGAATTGGCCTCTTCAATTCGGCGCGAGATGGACCTAGAAGACTTAGTAGATAGGCTACAAGCAGAGAGGGATAACCCTACGGCAGCTGGAAACAAGAGAACCAGCGATTACTTTTCCGATTCGGGATACAGCTCTGCTAAGCTAAGCGAGTATGACCAATCAAGGGAAGAGATAGAGAAAATTCAGAGGAGATCGGAGCAGGAGAAAGCCCAGATTAGGCTCGAGTTGACTGACAAACTCCAGGATGAGAGGTCCAGGAGACAACAACTTGATGTGCAGATCAAGGAGCTTTCGGAAAGGGCATCCCAGATTGACCTCGCAAAAGTTAACAATGTTGATACAACCGGACGTGTTAAGGAATTAGAAAGCACCTGTGAAACTTTGCGGCGCAAGCTTACCGAAGAGCGCCAAGTTAAGGATAACTTTGAAGACTTACTCGCAGCGCTCAAGGGCGAGCTCGAAAATGCCTCCAACCAACGCGACAACCTTCGTGATGAGGTCGTCCCCCAACTTCGAGCACGTGTGGAAGGTCTCGAAGCACAGGCGGCGGAGCTAGAGAAGATGACATATGAATCGACAAAGATGCAGCAAGAACTCCAGGCTCTGAAGAGCGAGAACTCGTCATTAAAAAAGACGCAGCCCAACCCGATGGGCACTATCTCTGAAGATACAGTATCAGCTGGATCCCGGCTGTCCCGGTCCAACTCCTTGACCGGCCTTCCAGCGCCCTTCAGGCTTCAAAGAGCGCCCTCCGGTCTAACAAGATCCAACTCGGTTAAGACGACTGAGTCTCGGGATCAGCTATCAGAGCGGATTAAGGACATCGAAGAGCAACGAGATGCTTTACACAGAGCTCTGCGGAATCTGTTGGACAGGCAAGAATATCAGAATAGAGAGAACCAAAAGAGGATACAGGCCCTTGAGATGGAGCGCGATCGTCTTCTAACCCAGTCACCACAGAAAGCCGGCTTCCAGAAAGAAATATCGAACCTTAGAGCTGAGATTACCGCCTTGCGTCGTCGAGCTGATGAGGCGCTCGAACAGAAGTGGCAAGTAGAAAAAGGACTCGGGGGTCTTAAGATGGATCTTGATCGGGCCGAGCAAGAGATAGCATCTCTCAGGAGCTTACTTAACGAGAAAGATATTCTAATTCCACCGTCTATCTCACGCCTAAGCACCGGGAGCGACAAATTCGCGCCCCCAGTAACATCAGATTCCCTAGCACTGGCCTATGAGGATCTCCAGAAGGCGTATGCCAACTCTCTTGAACGTATCAAAAAGCTTGAGGCTAGTAGCTCACCAGATGAGTTCACAAAGCTTGCAATGGAGAAGCTTGAGCGGGCACTATCTTCTACAATCTCAGAGCGCGACATTGCGCGCCAAGAAGCGACGTCGTATCAGGAGCAGCTTGAAGCCCTTAAGGCGGGCGAACGGGTTTATCTCGAATCCGAAAAGGCACTGGCCGACGAACTGAGCGAATCAGCTCGTCGCGTCGAGGAACTAGCTGTTCAAGTTCGTCAGCAGTTAGCTACTAATCAGACTCTGCGTCAAAGAATCTCGGACACAGTGGCTCGCGGCGAAGCTGAGCAGAAGGCCAATAAGGACCGTATTACCGCAATGCAGGTACACCTCCGGAATCTCGAGGAGAAATTAGAGGCCGCGCAAAATGCTTCCGAGGACCGGATCGCACGATATGAGGAAGATATTTCTAACCTCAGGGCCAGCCACAATGACCAGCTAAAACGGATGCGAGACGGCTTACGTTCTCCTCGTACATTCCCGCCGAAGTCGCCTTTATCCCCCTTTTTTTCAGGCCCAAATGCTCGGTCTCCTCGTCTGAACGCTACGCGCTCCGGCTCAGTTATCAAGGTATCCGATGATGCCCAAATTGATCACCTTCGCGCACGCGTCGCCGAGCTCGAAAACGCTCTAACCGATGCGGATGCCGAGATGCAGCAGGTTGTCGGCCGCATGAATACTGCTCAGATCCAAGTCATGGAACTGCAGGAAGAGCGCGAGGCAGCCGTTAGCCAAACGCGAAAGCTGGAGAGAGAGCTCCAGGCCGAAAAGGTCAAGGCTTTCGAGGGACGATTCAAGAGCTTGCAGGCATAGACCATTGGCTCATTGACTGAACATGAAAGACGCACATCTTTACATATTACGATTCAATGAAAGTCAACATGGGCGCACACCCATATGTACTACTTTTCCTTCTTGGCATTTACAGGAATCAGGCACCCTACACATTGGGTATGGCAGCGCGCTCACCTGGATTCAGCATCGGGCGTTTGTATTAAAGTATCACCACCTTGGTTTACTGTTTATAGCTATTGTATTTTTGAGCGGTCAAACCCGGCCGACCACCTATTGTATAATGCTCGAACCCTAGCATCGCTAGAGGATTCGAGAAATTGTATATCTAATGTTTTAACCTAGTACGCTTCTACCTGTATACGCGGTCGTCTACAGAGTCGAGCAGAAACACTTGCACCCCAGAAAGGTGCACATAGCTAGCTAGTATTATACTATCGGGAAGAATACCCGGAGTTAGTTGATAGCTAAGAATAACTACTACAACTGAATTTAGCAAACGTTATGTTCCCTCAATGGTGAAATGGTAATTCTATTCGTGACCGAACTTGGAGTTTATTTACGGCATCAGTAAACCATGCTTCGGGTTATAGCAAATTCAAGGGGCTTCTCAAGCTGAGGCAGTCCGGTGTTCTTGTCCAAGATGACAATGTTATAGCATAGGGGCAGAGCATCGGGAATTGTCATCGGAGCGTCGCTAATACCGAGTTTACCAAGTAGATATAACTAACATATAAGTAATTTCTTAAGCATATCAAGTTGCTCGAGCCGTCTCTTGCTCCGACTCTGGCTTTTTTGCGTCGGCTTTAGAAATGACAACTACCTTTTATTGTTTGTCAACGCCTAGCCAGAGAAGGTCGGGCCTACTATAGTGACCGACGATATCCAGGAAGCCCTTATTTGTTACGACCTTCGTGAGATCTAGATCTCCATATAAGATACCCTCGGTTTCAGGTTTACCATCACCAAGCGGTGTCGTCAATCGTCTCCCGTCGGGACCAATGATACAGCTGTGACCCCCTCCAGGCTGCGCACAGACAAGCCCATTTTGAGTGTTCAAAACGTCAATGCCGGCCTGAGCGCACACGGATGTGGCATGCAAGACGTAAGCGCCGCTTTCGATCGCATATGTCTGTGATAGGTTCTGGCATCCGTCGGCTGTCATGCTCCACAGGCCCGGATGATCTACGCCGGATGTGGGGTCTATCGACGGCCACATGGATATGTGAATGACTCCGCCTTGCGTGATGCTGTGATACTTGAGAAGCGGCTGGGTATGCTCCCAGCAGGCCAAGGCTCCCACCTTTATTTTGCCCAGCGGAGCGCCGAAGTCAAGCTCTGCGACGTTGGTCAAGTCGTTGCCGGATCCGTCGCCGAAGACGGTACGCTCCATGTGCGTCGGCTTTATCTTTCGTCTGTGGAGGGCTAGCTCGCCCTGCGGTGAGATGATTGCCTGTGCGATGTAGGTGCTGTTCGAGGGACTTCTCTCCGAGAAGCCGAGAACTACGGCAATGAAGTGCTTTTTGGCTGCCGTCTTTGCCGGAAATCGGTTATACTATATGCTGTATTGGCGCTGCGACGTTAGTATCAATATACCTACCTAGGTAGGTACTCTACAATGTTCAGAGCATATAACTTGGCATGGAGATGTCGGAAGGCTTAGAAAGGCGGAGATATCATCACTTGCTACGTAAAGTTAGTAGAAAAGTACCAACAGTAAATCGAAGCAGCACTATTCATTTATCAAGGTTGCTTCATCGTCTTGATAAGAGTATAACCTCGTTGGTCTATATACAGAGCCTTACTTATAAGCAGAGGCGGCAGAACTCTGGCAGTACAAAGTAACCCAGCCTTTTGAATTAACTAGCACTGTAATCTATTCTAGTACATGTAACCACATCAACATTACTGCCTGATGGACCGTATCATCAGCTGGTTATGTGCAATACAGATACCCAATTAGCTGGCAGCATATCATTGGAGACAATCGACAGATTTAAACGAACAATGTACCATGTCTCGCTAGCACTTGAGGACATGAAAGCTACCCCTCCCCCCTTTACCCCTTTACCCCTTTCCCCCATCAGCACCTATTTTGACGTAACTAGCGGAAGTTGTAGTTGCCCTTGTTGTCACCGTTGTGTATCCCAACTACATGACCTTTGTTGTATGACTGGTTGATGACATTCCCCCCCGTCCCGGGCGACCCCCAGTTCCGTATTCACAGATTCCTCAAGCCATGGGTCGCAAACCCCAACAATCGGCTTGAGCACCTCCAGATCAGACTTGCCCAGCCCTTTGCACTCCTCATTGCTGAGCTTGAGGAACTTCTCACGGTCAGCTTCCGGAATAGTTTCCTCGAGCTCCTGGATCCGTTCGGATATACTTTTTATAAACTTGTCGAAGTAGTCCTTTTTGTAGAAAACCCACTTGATGGATTCAATGGTCTTGGACACCTTGAGTTCTCGCTTGCGGAGGAATTTTAAGAACTGGTTCCGGATTTTCTTCAAGTCACCTTGAACACTCGAGTCCACTTCTACTACCTCGCGATCGGTCTCGGTTATCTTTCTCCTTAGCCTCGACATCTCGCTCTGAACAAGCTCCATGTGTTTCTGGATTCCTTCGAGTATTTCTTTCACCTCAGCTAAGATGGGGTCATTTCCTGTGCTGCCCTTTCCAGGCCCATTTGTGTTATGATGAGCGTCGTCAATCGTAGAAATATTAGCAATTTCGCCCCAGCGCGAAAGACGAAGCTGCGTAATATCGAGCTTTAGCTGACATGCTGTAAAGTCATCCGTGAACTCCCGTGCAAGTTGGATGCGACCTAGAGTCTCAATAACAATTTGAAAGATACTGATTGCTGTAGTTGTGTCCATGGTGTTTGAAGGGGCTAAGTACTGGCGTATAGAGCGTGTGCTGAGTTGCACCATTCTTAGACCTTGCAAACAAGAAGGAAGACTCGAATATAAATTAATTATGATGGAAGATAGAATGTACACAAGTTTGCCTCTTAGGCGCCCATAAAGAACCTAAACTACCACCCCCACATGACACTTGCCTGAGGCCATCGAGGAAGAAAGGGTCTTGGAATTATGGATTGATACTAGGCATATCTGGTTTGACCTGTCATATACATACGTACTACATACCGTTGGTAGCCGATATTGCCGCCAGTTTGGAGGCCTTACCTCGGGCACCTACACATATTAATAAGTTGGTGGCGAGGCTACCCAATGGGTCTTGGCACTCAACCTCAATAATCGATTTTCACCACTCTTGACTGCTTGGTGAGCATGATGATAATAATGTCCATGGCTATTGGTGGCTATAGGCCACCTGAATAGGCACCTAGTTACAGCGTGTGCATATTTGGAGCGGAGATGTCTAAAGTACTCCCCAAAGGAAACATAGCCAACCTAGAGTATTGTGTCATAGGATAAGTGACTGCATGATTATTCGGTGCCTATTTCTACGTTTCGGACTTTCGAGGATATTAATATTGGCACAATATATCCGTTTAAGTACGCATTTCGTTTTATACGCAGCTTTTAGATCTTAGACTCTCAGTACATCGGGAGCGGTTCTAAGGCATCGTTACTGAATGGTTGTAATTTATTATCTTCATGTTACTTATTACCATTAAGCGGGTAGGTTTCATTGGCTTATGTATCCCATCAGCCGTCAAGCATAGATTTAAATACCCAAGTAAAGTTTAGATATTAGTAGGGATTCTACTAGTTTTGTGCCAAGTACCTAACTAATGAAACGTTCGACATTCTATCGCCATGTCTAAGAATAGTTCCAACATCAATCAGTCGGGAAATAGTGGTCACGTGGTAGGAGTTCACAACGGTGACATTGTTAACTGTTAGTTTCGTGAGGTTAGCACCCTGTAAACTCCAAGTCGTACTGACATTTGTATTTGTAGATAACAACGCCACCACAGCGTTGACCCCGAAGCATTTTGCGCAGAAAACACATGAAAAAATAAAAGAAAACTGGGAATCCTATAAAACATGTGACTGGCTGTTGCAAGAGAACAGTTTCCAATCATGGGAGAAGATGGAAGCACAATATTCCCTTCTCTGGCTTCATGGACGTCGTGAGTTCTTGCGATCATTGAGCGAAAGCGTACGATTTTACTTATTATTGAACAGCTGGGTGTGGGAAATCGACTTTGATGTAAGTGTTCTGGTCGTGCTATACTCAACCCGGATGAGAAAGTATTAACATATTCTTGTTAAGATCTCGCATAATCGAAAGCATCTCTCAGAACCAATTCGCGACACGAGGTCCCAACACTATCCACCTGCTTTACTTCTATGTCGGGCTTGGAGATGGCGAAGGAAAGGATACACTGTATCAAAAAATGCTGATGACATTTTGGGAACAAGCAACAGGTGAAAAACCAAGCGATACATCAAAAACAGGAAAGGATGCTGTCAACCAATTACACGACTTTCTAGCTTCATCGCAGCGCGATATATACCTTGTCATCGACGCGCTCGACCAACTTCCTCCATATTCTCAACAAGACATTCTCAAAAGCTTGGGTTCTCTGGTTCAAAAGCTCAAGGATGGGACGAATAGCTGCCGGTTGAGCGTAGCTATTAGTTCCCGTGATCGCCAGGATATCCACCAGCTGGGGACATATAAAAGGTTCCAAATTGAAGTCACTCCTGAAAAAAACAAGCGTGATATAGAGAGATACCTTGGGAAATGTCTTGACAGGCCTCGATTTGAGGAACGACAAGAACTTCAGGCACGGGTCTTCGACTACCTAAGCAAAAATGCAGATGGAATGTTAGTACTACCAATGCTTCTCTTTGATTGTAACTGACAGGCGGAGTTTAGGTTCCTATGGGCCAGCCTGCAAGCATTAAACTTCTGCGATATGGAATTGGACTCACAAATCTCGGATGCCCTGGACAATCTTATCCCCCCACAGAAGCTACACGACACGTATAAGTCCCACGCTGAAAGCTTTGAGGCTCTGCTGGACCCATTTAAGCAGAAAGTAACTTGGAGGACAATGGCTCTTTTGGCACACAACGAGGGCTCATTGCCGACAGAAGTAATTCTCACAGCAGCCTCATTGAACGATAATGGAGAAGTAAATCAGGAGCATCATCAAGACTTGGCCAAGAACCTTATTACAATCGTCCGCTTCTGCAGTCACCTAGTTCAAATCAATGAGAATCTTGGAACTTTCCAATTTTGTCATAGAACCGCCTTTGAGTTCTTCAGGGGATACAATCCAACTGTCTACCACTACCGGATCGCAGACCTCTGCTTATCTCACTTATCCTCATCGGACTTCTCCCAGGGTCCTCAGAATGACGCTAGATGGTATAGTCCTGGTAGTCTTGGGGTGATTTTGCAGGATCATCCATTTTTAACTTTCGCGTCGCTCAAATGGGCCACGAGCATCAAACGTAGCTTTAGTCGTGGGGCAAGCCTTGAAGGGAGCTATTATAGGACTCTCTGTCTTCTGAAGCTACTTCTTGATAAGGAAACGGGAGTAAAAAGGAAAGGGAACCTACAATTAGCATTCCAGGTATATTTCTTCAAACGAGGCAAAACAATGTCAAGCAGAGTATGCCACGAGCATATTATCAGCTATTTCTCTCTTGTCGAGCTCATTGACGTTTTGAAAAACGAGAATTGGTTTGATCAGGCAAGGCTTGATAGTGACGGCTTAAGTCCGATCCACTGGGCCATACGGAATGACATTGATCATGAGGGTGCTGCCTCCACTGTTGGAGTGTTGATCAGATATGGCGTTGATATTAATGCAACGGATAAAGAAGGCCGCTCTCCTTTATGGTACGCTGCTTACTACGGAAATGAGGAGGCAACGAAACTCCTTATTAGGCATCATGCCAAACTTGACCTCAAAACCCAACGCAACGAGACGGCTTTAATAGCTGCCTGCAAGCTACACCACGAGAATATTATTTCTCATCTTACTAATGCTGAAGCAAACGTGGAGGTCCAAAGCGAATCTGGAACTGCTCTACAATTCATTTCCCTGACTGGATGTTGTAGCTGTGCTGAAAGAATATTGAACGGTTATGGAACTTCCAAAATCATCGAGTATCCCTGCGAGTTCGGTTCTTCTCTGCATGCCGCCGCATTTTACGGTCACTTAGACCTCGTGAAGCTCCTCTGCTCAAGAAGAACGAATTTTCTTCGTATAGTAGGCAGAGAACATGGAAGCCCTATAACAGCAGCAGCGGCAGGGTTTAGTCCAGGATTAGACTCGGCGCCTTTCATTGAAATTATCGAAGAATTAATCAACCATGGCGTGGATGTCAATAAGCGTGGCGGTGTAGTCGGGCCAGCTCTCCGTGCAGCAGCAGCCCATGGGAGTCTTGAACTCGTTCGTTTCCTTATAGATAAGGGCGCCAAGGTACACAAAGCCATAGGACCAATGGGCACTGTCTATGAAGCTGCTGAAGAGTATGGACATCAGGGGATTAAAGATCATTTGCTATCAAAGGACGCAAATGCTGCGCGGTATGGCCAAAACCGTACTCGTAGCTCGTATGGTCGTCAAGAGTTTCAGCGGGTAGTTTTCCGGGCTGCTGTCAAAATGGTGAGCATGGATACTATCGACATCCTCGTCACCCAGATGGAAAAGTTCTATAAACAGGAATTCGAAAAAGGCGAGACTGCCCTTCTTAGAGGATTGGCCAAGCTTAGCAGGGACTCCTTCCAGGATGTGGTGAAGTTGGCTACAGAGTCACAAGATAGACGGAGTATGCCAACAAAAGGGAAACATAACAGAAGCATAGCACGGTTCCGAAACAATATGCTTGATCTTTTCTGTATACCTATCTTCAAAATCAAAGATAGTGGGCTAGCCCAGGTACCCACGACATATTCTTTAGGTCAAGACGATCTAGAACACCTTCCACAAGTTTTGGATCGAATGACACAAGCTGCGGTGAAGATCATGGAAGATGCTATTGCGAGCGGGAAAAGAGATGTAATCAGATTGATGGCCAATGCATGGATTGAGGCACTGAATAATCTGATATCGTATCCTGGCTTTGGAGAGCCGATGCTGGAATTAGTAGTTCAGAGGCGTGCGAACGAGCTCAAGGAACGGTTGACAAACCCGAATGTAGGCGAAGTGGCAAGATTCGGAGAGACCAAGGCCTTGGCTCAAGTTGGCATTGAACTTCTTCTGATAGCCGTTGAGCGCGGCCAAAAATTCAAGCATCTATCGTTTGTCATCTCTAAGCTATGGATCGAAGCGGTCAATGATATCGAGGGTCTTGGTGAGAAGGGAGAGAGGCCAGTAAAGGAACTGATTCGCCTATTTTCGGAACGGTTTTCACATGCAGTGATGATACACGATCAAGTCAATGCAAGAATTTGTCTGCAGGCCGGCGTTGAGTTTGTGAGAGCAGCAGCGTTGAGTGCAAACAAGACGTTGCTCAATAAGTTTACTAGGGAATGGCTGAGATGGTGGGAACTGATTGTTGAAAAGAATATGGAGAGTATGGTTAAGGGGTTAGTCGACCAGCGATGGAAAGAATGCCAAGAATGCCTCAAAGGCAACATGAACGACAAAGCGCTTGGCCTTGCACTTACAGCCATAGGAATACTTCAAACAGGTATCGAGTATAAAAACGGACCGTTGGGAGAGATGATACGACCTGTCATCGAATCAAGTTTTCAATTAATGCAAGAAAACTTCCTTGGTGATGCCGAATTTACTAGATTATCGGATCGGGACCTAGACACTGTCTCCGACGCCCTCATCGACTTGTTTGCGACAGCTGAAGAGATACAGCCTGGCTCGTTGAATACTTTGGCTTTAAAGATGCTCGACTGCGCAATTACTTCAAGCCGCAACTATCAAAAACTACTAGGGATAATCGAGCGACATGTTAGAAAGGTTGATCAAATCGCCTCTTCGTCCGATCGAGAGAAACAGTCGATTCAGATATTTCGAATAGTTGTTATGTTCATCAACGTCGCCTTATGTGCTGCAGAACCAAACTCCAGCGTTTTACCGGTCTTGAAAAAGATGGCCCTGGAAAATCTGGCTGCAAAACTACCCAACTTCACAGAGAGGGGCGAATTGGTTCCGTATACGAGAGCTATAGCGTATTTGAAGTCGGAAGATCATTAGGGTGTCAGGGAAAGGAGGTTGATATTTAGTAGAGTAGGAAGTTTCGAAAAAAGGAACATAATTTCATGAGTCCTTCCCAATCCTCCTCCGCAGTTGCCCCTGCTGCCCTGCTGCCCTGCTGCCCCGCTGCCCCTGATGCTGATATAAGCTTTCCCGTGGGGTAAGTCCAGCCGAAATTTACCCAAAGCCGATATTAAGCCGGCGGAATTTCCTATTTGAGCATTTGAACTTGTCTGGGTGGCGGCGTTTACGCTTTCTCAAGCCATTGGCTTCCATGTTCCAACAACATGTTCTTGTGCAGAGATCCGTCCAATCGGGTCCCCACCAGCCCACAGCTCCCTTCATACGGAACATATCTATGTGTGGTGTCGACCCCGCTCGCTACGTACCAAACCCCTTCCTTCAACTTTACGCTCCGCGACTACATATCTACATAGGTAGCTACCCGCCCCGGTCTCCGGTCGTCGCAGTGGAGCTATTATCAAAGATGTTTTCCTGCTGTCCGCGAACGGTCATGATTGGCAGATAAGACCCTTACAGTCTTTTCTAAGGGTTGGTGATTACCTACCTACGAATGGGGTAGCAGGCCTGGTATCCGGGGATGCTGGGGTCAGACCACACCGATAGGATCGTGAATGCTTTCTTCAGCGTCATCTCTCAAAATGTTCAGCGTCATATAGCTCGCCAAGTTGTCATGTAATGCAGGGTATCCCACCACTGCGAATTAACAATTATTAAGCGGCCAACCCTCCCTTTTTATTTTTCTTTAACTTTTTATTGTTCATGTATATATCTCAGCCCTCTACCACCCGTTTTCTTCCTTTATAGGTACCTTTCTTTACCCCTCCAAATCTCAATTAATTCTTATCCAGAAGGCTTCCCTCTAAGTCATGAGATAAGTACCTAACCTAGATATTCAACACTCAAAATGAATTCTTCACTATTTGGGACTCTCGTCCAAGTCGAGTCCAACTCGACCCGATACGATGAGCATCCTCTTCCTATACCCCCCCAGAGAGTAAAATCAAGGACATATCCAGCGGTCCCTCAGCAAGACTCAATTGAATTGGAGCCTCTTCGACGTCCTCCCAACGATGCCGGAATTTCTAGTCCCTCGGCACCCACCACTCCTAGAGAGGAGATGGATGTTGAGATGCGCGCCCCCGGAACACCGGTTGGGCCAACCGATACCTTTGACGCTCTCCCGACTCTGAACGACCCGCCTATGAATAAGTTCCGCCTAGCGACATGTTGTTTCCTAAACTTCGTGGGCGGATTAACTGATTCGGCACCTGGTGCCCTCATTCCTTACATGGAGTCGTGAGTAGAGCCCATCTCAAGCTGGTTCTTTGCCGAGCGCTCGTAAAGAAAGACTAAGCACGGGCTGACCGAGGTGAATGAAGTCATTACAATATTGGATATTCCGTAGTAGCTCTTATCTTCATCGGTAACGCTCTAGGGTTCATTATGGCTGCGCCATTCGTCGACCAGATTCGCCAGCGCCTTGGGCGAGCTAAGACCATCGCTCTGGCACAGCTTTGCATCGGCGTCGGGTATATTCCCCTGATCTGCACGGCACCTTTCCCTGCGGTGGCGGTCGCCAACTTCTTCATCGGCTTCGGCCTTGCCCTCCAGCTCGCCATCGGCAACGTATTCTGCGCAAACCTGGCTAATAGCACAACGATCCTCGGTGCTTTCCATGGAAGCTACGGTATTGGCGGTACGATTGGACCTCTCGTTGCAACTTCTATTGTATCTTCTGGTGCTATCTGGAGCCGGTACTACCTGTTGACTCTCGGCCTTGTCATTTGGAATGTCGGCTTCTCGACTTGGGCTTTCTGGAATTACGAGAAGGATGTTGGCGGTAGCGAACCAAATGCTCTGTATGAGACTAGTTCACGTGGTTTAGATCATGTGTCAACTATACTCGTTACATTCAAGTCAAAGGTCGTTATCCTAGCGGCCCTCTTCATCTTTGCGTACCAGGGAGCCGAAGTGTCTATCTCGGGATGGGTTATCTCCTTTTTGATCTCCAATCGCGACGGTGACCCTTCGTCTGTCGGTTACGTGACATCTGGTTTTTGGGCCGGCATCACGCTCGGTCGGTTCGCACTGTCGCCCCTCGGCTCCAAAATCGGGGAGAAGTTATTCGTTTACATTATCGTGGTCGGGGCTGCCGTCTTCCAGTTGCTAGTCTGGTTAGTCCCTAATATCATCGGCGAAGCCGTATCCTTGGCCATTGTAGGGTTACTTTTGGGACCCATCTACCCCTGTGCCGCTTATGTCTTTACGCGTAACCTCTCCCGTCGCGAGCAGTTCAGTGGTATGAGCGTCATTAGCGCTTTTGGTAGTTCTGGTGGCGCCATTGCCCCGTTCACTACGGGTCTTTTAGCTGAGGCTACTGGTACGTTCATCATGCACCCTATCGCTATTGGCTTGTTTGCCGTCATGCTAGTTTGTTGGTTCGGACAGCCTGGAATTAGGAAGAGAACGGAGTAATGAAGTATGATAATACCACGTATTAGCCATATTATATACGTACCTACCTAGGTTAGATATATAGAACAATGGCGGGACGGGCTTGAGGCAAAAACTGCCTTGGGAATTATATTCGTTAAGTCTCTAACAACGAATGCCCATACTATGGGTAGGTAGGTAGGTAGTTAGGGCTGCAAATCTTTTTTTAAAAGGGGGTTAGGCGACGCTTAGCATCGAATGATATTATGCTCCATCGACCTGTCTATCCGTTTGTCTAAAGATAATATTTATCTGCACACCGAAAATGCATATGCAATGTTGCTTGAAGATTAGATCCCGCGCGGGAACCTAGAGATAAAAGAGGGAAACGATATTCCTCTAGGAAGTCGAAGCTTGAAGATTTACACTCTTCCCTTCGCCGCTTCCTGAACGGTGATCTTGCCTTCAACCACGTCCGCAACAATCTTGTGGATGTCAGAGAAGTCGTTGAAAGTGACAAATGGCACCTTCTCATTCTCGCAGTACGTGACGAGGTCTAGCAGGTTAGCATATTGTCTTCAGAATCTCTTGAGTCGTTGGAATAAAGAAAAACTTACCTCGCCCAGCCTTGGCAAATAGTAGATCGGTCTCCTTGGCGGCAGACAGGTCTGAGACTCCGTCTCCGGCATAGAACATTATAGGCCGCTCCGGTAGCGCCGCATACGGTCTAATCTCGAGGGACTTGTCGTGTCCAAAGTCGCTACATTAAGCAAAAATTGTATATATTAGTTACTGGTTCTTGACATGGAGCTATCTTTACAGGTACATATCATACGCTTCATTAGGAGTTTGTTCTCAGAACAAAATGCCAAATCTGGAATGTAAGGTGCTTGGGAGAACGTGCCACAGAAAAATAATGAGAATAATTTTTTACCTATCGTCGTGGAACTTGATGTTCCAGCCATTCTCTTCGTTAATGCTCTTGCCGGGTCTGGCCTCAACATCATTGCTGACTATTTGCATATGCTGGACGGCATCCTCGCCAACAAGGTGGGCGAGTAGAGCACGGATGATGGGCTGCATGCCACCGCTCAGGACGACAACAGGGACATTGTTTGCACGAGTCCAGGTGAAGAACTCGGCAAAGTGAGGGTCGAGTTGAACATTCTTGAGCAGAGTGGCAATGCATTGGTCGTAGGGGGTCTTGACGCTATCCATCATCTCCTGGAAGCTGTCGCGGAACGTACGCTTGCCAAACAACACATCGTGGTTGCCCTTCTTGCGGAGCTCAGCGCCGTATCCTAGGTTGTCTGTCATAAAGTCGTTGCTGTCCTGCAGCGTGATGGTACCGTCAAAGTCGGTGAAAAAGATGGCCTTGGGGTTGGTACGCAGCGCGGGGAGTGTGCCGTTAACGCCATTGATGCCATTGGTGTTGTTGGTTTGAGCCATTATATCTATATATTGTTCGATATGATTTTAAATCTGGTAGTCTAGATATTGTTGGTCGTATTTCATCTAATATATATAAACTTGACGGTTGTCTCCTATACTCTAATAGATCTTGTATATGAAGGACTTTGGTCTGATATCCTAGAAAACGGAATGACGTCACACGATAAATGAAGGGTTTTTTTGCTACCTGACGTCTAGCAAGCTCGTGAGAAGGATAGCCGAGTTGTGAAAGTGTAAATATTTGCCGGTCAAATAAGAAAGAAAGGAAAAGAAGAGGAAAAGAAAAGAAAGTGATGAGAGAAATAAAGTTTCCCAAGGGTCTAAGCCAATACTAACACCGACTCCAAACACATGCGGCATGGAAGCAAGAGCGATCCGCGGGGCTCTTTCTGTCTGCCACCTTCTGCCCCTCTGCCCCTCCATCAATTTTTGTCGATCGGTTATGCTTTTCTGCCAAAAGGGAAAGGGTCCCCACTGAGGCTTATTAGTGATCTTGGCGACGCTACCTTGTGCTTTAGTGTACATTATACATACCTATGTACCTAGGTAGGTACTACCTAGCTGCTTACATACATATGTACTTTAGGTCGTAGCTACCAGCCATTGCCCAACTATGGTCCCGGTAAGGCGGTGGGCAGTAGGCGGTGGTCGGATAATTCCCGGCGCTATTTCAACTTCTTTTCTCGGCCGGACTACACAGCGCCATATTCTGCCCTGCCCTGTCCTGTCCCGTCCCCCTACTTTAGGTACTTTTACCATAGATCGATCATACGCCAATTCAATCGCAGCAAAGAGGAAGGGTAGCCCGACCCGTCCTCTAGCTTGCCTTGATCTTTGATGTCGACTTCGAGGGCCTTGAAGCCCATTTTCGGGTCTAGCTACCGGCTTCTTCTCGATCAATTGGCACCTCAGTCCACGAGGAAGCTCGTCTCGAGCCGACCATCTCCGGCATACCCAACCTACCAGAATAACTCCGTCCTTTTTTTAAACCACCAGTTTCGCTTCTCCTCATCCTCGTCCTCGTCTTCTTCCTCCAACTCGACTCCGCCGAATCCTCCTAGGAATAATGAAAATGATAAAAAGCCTACCGAAAATGAACCTATATTCCCCTTCTCCCCGCCCTTTATCGAACCACCTCCACCACCGAAACCCGAACCGACACCGACACCGACACCGACACCCCCGCCACAGCAATCACCGCCACCCCCTCCCCCGGAAAGTCACTCCACGGTGAACCCCGAGCTCCCCTCGGCCCAGAATTCGCGGCGCTCCGCTCTGAACCGCTCTCTCAGCACGTTCATGGACCGGGCGCAGACGACGCTCTTCGCCGCGTCTCAGCGGATTAACGACCTGACGGGATACTCGGGGATCGAGACGCTCAAGTCCCAAATCAGCGGTCTCGAAGCGGAGCTTGCGGCGGCACAGGCTCGGCTGCACGCTGCGCGCGGTGCCTACAAGTCGTCCGTGTCCTCGCGGTCCGCGACGCAGCGAGAAGTCACGACGCTGCTGGCGCGGCAGAAGATGTGGTCGCCGACCGACTTTGAGCGCTTTACGGCCTTGTACCGACAGGATTACGAGCTGGACGCGGATGTGGCAGCACGCGCTGCCGAGCTCGAGGAAGCCGAACGCGAAGCCGAGCGTCTGGGCCGTGAGCTGAGTGCTGGGATTCTGAGCCGCTACCACGAGGAGCAAATATGGAGCGACAAGATCCGCCGCATGAGCACCTGGGGTACTTGGGGCCTTATGGGCGTCAACGTCCTCATGTTCCTCGTTTTCCAGTTCGGTGCCGAGCCCTGGCGCCGCAGGAGGCTCGTCAAGGGTTTTGAGGAGAAGGTCCGTGAGGCTTTAGAAGAGGAGCGCCGACTCGAGAGAGCTTTTAGGGGGGCCGAGAAGGAGAGGAGAAGGATAGAGAAGGAAGCTACTGCCGCTGCCGTTGAGGCTACAGTTGCAGCCGACGTAGTCGACCCTGAACCAGCTACGGCAGAGTTAAAACCAGAAGAACCAGCCGATGGTATCATAATAGGACCGCCGATCACATCATGGCGAGAGTCACTCTTGAATCCGGAGTGGTGGAAAGCTGCATATGCCGACTTATCAAGTGATAAGAAAGTCTCCCTTAAGATGCGAGACGTTTCTATAATAGCGCTCGAGGGCGCCGCTGCCGGTGCCGCAACTTTCGGTACTATAGCTGCTATTATATTTATTCGAAGATCCTAGACTAGAGCAAAGTGTCAAAAGGGTATGTACTCTAACTTCAACACCCACAGCTGTACAATACGATACCCCCCAAAGACCGCCCCTATCAGCACACCATGTACATTCACCTTGTATATAAATTCGAAAAAAAGAAGGATGACGTTTGCATTATCTGCCGGTCTAATTAATGGGGGCAAGCTACTATATGTCGGGGTAGACCGTGCGATAGCATCTGCTTGCCGCTCCTTGACTGAGAATTCTAAATCGCGCCCAACAGCAATCGACCTTTTTTTTTGTGAATATTCGCTCAGCGAATGGCATTTCATAACGCTTATGTATCCGTGGCACGAGTAGTAAGTACGCTGTGGCCTAGAGTGATATCGACCGTGCAGTATTTCTTTTTTTGATCAATGCGCCTCGAACCAAGCAGATCACCTCGCTGTCGTATACCACGGATCCTAGGGCATCACGAAACGATTGAATCCTCCGCTCATTTCTAGGATTTGCCACTACCGCTGCTCCTGTTATCATACCCTCTCGACGAGTCCTTAACTTCCAGTCTCAGCACCTAGTCAAAATCCGCCGTGTATGAGAATCCGCGGAACTCTTCTTGCATAGATTGCGAAAGCACTATAATTTTATCAGCATGACCGGTATTTTGGGGGTAGACACAATTATCATTACCTGACTGCACCGGCGTCAAAACCGGTGTAACGCTAGTAAATTCTGAATCGAAATTGCTGGTATCCGTTGCGCTCTTGATCGTGGGCATGAAAGGAGGGGCTACCCTCTTATTATAAATGTCATCCCATACGATGTTTCTGAAGAAGGGTTGACTCATGACCTCCTGAGCATCAGTTGGCCCGCTTCCTAATCGTTGGTCGGGGTCCCTCGTGAGAAGTTTCTGTAGGATCGAGACCGATTCCCTGGGCATGTGAATAGGATAGAGCGGCTCATCTGCAAGAATCGCGTCGTAAATCTCGTCCTCGTCTTCGCCCCGGAAAGGTGACTGTTGTAGGAGCATCTGGTAAATTAACACACCAAAAGCCCACCAGTCCACCGCTCTACCGTATTTCTTATCCAGTAGTATCTATCATGATGTTAGAGACAATACAGAGGCATGTAAAGTAAAGGGCACACGTACTTCGGGGGCCATGAACTCGGGTGTACCGCAGAAAGTACTGGTCGTAGAGCCATACCACATGTCCTCTTTGCACAGACCGTAATCCGCAATCTTGATGTGACCATCTAGCGTAAGCAAGATGTTGTCAAGCTTGAGATCACGATAAATAACGCCGTTCTCATGGAAATACTTGAGTGCTAAGCAAACTTCAGACGCGTAAAACCTAGGGAAAAGGTCAGCAAACATGCTTCAAAGAGATTATAAACTTGGGAACCTACTGTGCACGTTTGGTGCCAAATTGTCCACGCTGGATATGAAGCATCAGGTCGCCACCGCTAATGTACTCCATGACAAAGTACACCCTTGTTTCGGTTTGGAAACAGGCATGCAAGTTGGTCAAAAATGGATGACGCTCCCTATTCGCAATCAGGAACACCCTTTTCTCGGATCGGATACTTTCGACTTCGTCGTTTTCAATAATAAATTCCTTCTTTAGAACTTTGATAGCATAAAGCCGCCGTGATTTCTTCGTTTCCGCCAACATAACCTTACCAAAGTTACCTTTACCGAGGACTGCAAGGAAATTAAAGTGATCCAATCCAATACGTTGACCAGTTCCCGGGTCAGTTGCGGAGGGCAAAGGTTTTCTTGAAGGGGGCGGCAATGTAGTGCTCGATGTTAGTGAAGGGGTTTCCTGGACTGGTTGCGGTTTCGAAACCGGTGCAATTGGGGTGTACATCTGCTGTTGCTGTATTTGAGGTGGTGGAGATTGCGGTTGTTGGGCCGGGCGTTGCTGTTGTTGCGGTATTTGTGGCTGGCCTGGAGGATAGTTGGCGATATTTGCATACGCCGCTGGGTTATACTTCGGCTGTGAAGGCACATTATAGGGCTGGCCAGCTGCGTACGGATCTTCTTGAGCATCTAAGGCCCCGCCATAACTACTACCAGTCCTACCAGAGGAGTAGTCTGAGACCTGTCCTGGGCGACCTGATGGAGAACCTATAGTACCGCTCATAGCAGCTGTAGCGGCAGCTGCGGCGGCACTCGAGCCGGATGAAGTACGATCAGGATAGACGGGTCTCGTTGGTGAGGCCTGACTAGTATACATAGCTTTAGCAGCATCGGTTGCCTCTTGAGAAGCGATACTGGTCTGATATGATACACCATGAGTACTATAGGGTGACATGGGACCTGATGATGTGCTGGTAGGGCTAGACTTGCCCTGTCTAAGGGTCTTATCACTCAACGAAGTCGCTTTTTGTTGCCTCTGCTTTTGTGATCTGATGCCTTCGAGGATCTGGTTAGCAACAGCCATACTCATACCGCAGAAGTCCGGTACAAGATGCACACAGTGGGCATGAGCTGTAAGCGCGCACTCTATAAAAGTATTAGCCATATTCAAACAACTAGGGGGGATAGTAGGTATCGACCGTACCGGTACACTTTCTGCAATTCTTCTTTCCAAAAGGTAGTATATAACCACAGTGGCAACACCAATTCGCGGTAACATTCGAAAATGGAGCGAACCTATGGGGAATACGGTGGTTGATTTTCTCCTCGTCTGGATCTGTTTCGGCGTTGCTTTTACTTATACACTTTGTAACCACGCTCGAATAACATTTCGTATGACAGGTATATTTGCAGTCCTCGCACTGCATACCCGCAGAGTATTTGAGAAAATCGCCGCAAAGGGCACATCGCATAATGTTGTAGAATTGGTGTTGCACGAACTTGTGTCCGTACATCTCGTGTACCTCTTCTTTGCGTTGACGAATAGCACCCTTCCGTCCAAGGCCAAGGTCCACAGCTCTACGGTCTTTACTTTGTTTTATGAAGTTGAGCGATAGATGAATAGAACCCGTAGGCTCTAGATTAAACCACGCATCGATCGGCTGAGAGGTAACTTGTGGCACCGCTTGCGGCCCAAACTGCTGCTGACCCGGACCAGCTAATCCAGGAGATGTAGGTCCGGCAATAACTTGCGGTGGCTGTTGCGGATCCATTGGGAACTGAGGCGGGGGCACTCCAGGGCCTCCTCCCATCCTATCGGCAGATACCCAACCAGAGTTGCTGACCTCGGCCTCGATTCTCTTTTTTCGCATCTCTTCCACGATATCTGATATCCGCACCCATAGCATGGCAATAGGTAATGCATGTTCACCTGGCTTGTCATAAACTGTGAGTTCGATCTCGTTCGCCTTATCGACCTCGATATTGTGGTATTCGGCTTCCCATCGATCGGTGCGTGATACCCTTGTTCGTGCAACGACGTTGTCCTCGACCTTAATAGCGATGAAGGTTTCTGGCCCCCGCGAAAACCGCCCGGTACTAGCATGATCCACATCTCTTACCTGGACAATTCGAATCGTAAGCTGCCCAGTTAATGGCTTGCGTAGATTGGGCATATTGATACTATCATCTGCGAGATAGGCTTGTTAGCATAGTAATATAAAAACTACGGGGCGGGCAGCGAACCGTCAGGGGAGTCGGCAGAATCCAAATCATCTATATGAAGTTCTTCGTATCTCTTGAGTGCCTGCTTTAGGAGATGAATCTTCTGTTTACTCTCGACCCTCCTTGCTGCGGCATCAGCTTTGCTTTTGCGATCACCTTCCATGCCGTAGAGTTGAACCATTTTTTCTACACCCTTGAGATATTGCTCCTCGACGTTAAGCTTGAACTGGATTTGAGAGAGCATAAGTTGGATTCGAGGACCGAGATATGGGGTATCGTATTTAATAAGATCTAAAGACAAATAAGAATTAGTTATGCATATTTCATCATAAGGGCCATGGCAGAGCCCGCCGCAACATGAGTGAGAAGGAGAGGGGTGACAAACCTAACTTGGTAAAGTTTGGCCTCAGTTTCGAAACCGTCGAAGTTGGCCCTGGGGGGGCGAATGGATGTCGCGGCGGCATGATATCTCCATGGCCGCCGACCTGACTATAAGGTAGCGAGCCATAAGAGCCCTGATCGCCCGACCACGCGCCGGCATCTTTAGGCGGAGGCGGCGGTGGTCCTTCGCCATCACGCATATCGAGACTGCTAGGACGTAACGAGCCGGCTGCTGTAGAGCTTGAACCGATGCTCATGTTATCCACACCTTGTCCCAGACGCTTCATCTGTAAATCTCGAAGCTTCTCTTCGAAAAATTGGAGATTCCGACGACCCTCCCGCATCTGGCTATCGAGACGAGACCTAACATCGTCATTGTTGGTCTGCTGTCGCATAGAATTAGCAGCATTGATCAGGGCTTTCTCGCGCTCGATCTTTTTGTAAATATTTGCCATGGCCTCTTCGTCGTTCATGATGGGCAGCTGGGTTGCGCGTCGTCACGCGCGGGACTAGGTAGGTAGAAGGTATGTACTAAGACTTGTTGTTGTGTGAGTGGAGGAGAGGTTGAGATGTTGAGAGGCAGAGAGGCAGAGAGGCAGATAGACAGAGAGTCACAGAGGCAGAAATGCGGGCGGCCCGAGATAAAGCTGGAGAAAAGCTATCTCACAACTCGGTATTGCCTATGCGGTATTGCCTATGCCTTATACTGCCTTATACTACCTGTACTGGCTGCAATCGGCAGGCCCAGGGCACACACTACCCGCAGCACTAGCGTTAGCCTTACAACAGAAGCCAGTTGATGTTTGGATTGAAGCAAGTGTAGTTGCCGGGTTGGCGTGTTGTCAAAGAGCGGGTAAGGAGCAAAAGATTAAGAGATAAAAGATTAAGAAAATTGGGTAGTGCGATGTCGTCAGTGTCAAGTACGGCTACCTATGTCGCTACCTATGTCGCTACCTTAGGTAGAGGTAGCCTGTATGAGGTAGGTATGTACAAGTTTGCCTTGTGTCAATGGCGGGGTTTTGTGTCTCGCATGCGGCAGGCGCAAGTTTATGTATGGGTGGTCTGTGTTGAGACCCACTGTGGGTTTATGGATTTATGGATTTATGGATTGGATTGCTGTGCACTTAAATAATTCAAGGTTGTTATTGTTATCAGTTGATAACCCGACTAGCGCCCTCTTTTTCTAGTATTGCCCAGGTCTCGTATTATTATTATTATTATTATTTGAGTTTGGGGTTTATAGGAATGGAATGTCGTAACTTTTCGTCAAGCCTCGAAGAAGTGGACAAATTACAAGATTTTGGAGAAAAAAATATATATAAAAAATAATAAAATAATAAAAAGATACCTACCTAGATAAGGCCGGGGAAGACGAGTGCCACCGGAAACCCTGAAAGGGAAGCGTAATGCGTAGGTAGGTACCTACCTCCTACACATACATATATAAAGTGCTAAGTCGGTACTTGTTGGCTTTACTATGTCGGTGTTAGCCGCCTGCGTGTCATCGGTTTACCAGATAACCTAAGAAACAGACAAGTGACCTAGCTATGTATTCCTGTTTAGGATCATTGGCAACTCGGAGGATTCAAATAGAACAGCAAATAAATAGATGGAAGAGGGAAATGGCCAAACTTACCTAAGGTAGGTATGTTAGAATAACAGGTCAGAATAACAGGCGTTCGGGGAAAGCAAAGTAATATCAGACGAGGTGAGATCAATCGACTCTAAAACAGCCCACGTTCCATTTGAGTAGGAAATTGAGACTTTCCGTATTAACCCATAGATATAGGTAGGTAACTACCTAGCCTAATTACCTAAGTATAGGTACCCTACATCATACGTCGCTCTACTGCTCTTATCACGTCCTCATGCCTGGTAGCATAGCAACTACTATCTACATACATATATCACCATCGCACGGCTTGCATCTAAATCTACGGTCTGAATCTACGGTCTGAATCTGCAACACGATACAATATAGGTAAAGATCTTCATGTACATGTGTGGAGATGCGGGTCAAGACCTAGTCGCGGCTCGCATACATAGAACTATGTCAATATTTGATATTGATCTTGCCCTACCGGTGTAACTATTAGGCATCACGAAAACAACAAAACTCTATCCATTTGTCAGCTAAGCAAATGGGTTGCGCGTCCCCGGAGGTGCCGTAACGCAAAATATATACATACCAGCGGTTTAGGGGGCAGCTTTCAAGGAGTGACCTGTCAAGTCAAAAATTGATGCAGGGCGGGGAAGAAACAATATCCCCTAGACATCCCCTAGACATCACAAGCACTACAAACGAGAAGACAACTTGACCCCGCCTCGCGTACCTATCAACTTGTCACGATCAGAGATGATGCTACGGTTATCATGCGATTCGCGAGTTCATCGAAGCATGTCAAGATTCAAGTCAAGATTTCACACGTGATACTCTATTTCATTCCATACCACGGACACATTGAGTTGACATGGCGCAAGCTTTAAATAAATGATAATCCTTGATGCCTAAGGCTGTAAACTAACGTAACAAGTTCTTCAGATTCAGACCTCACATACAACGCAATCAGGGGGGTATCAATAGTATTAACATGACAAGCCAAAACAAGCCACAACTGCTCACAGCTATACAGACACGTCTTATCTCATTTGATCTCACACAATCAAGCGCAGGGTATCAGGTCATTATGAAATGCTAAAAACAGAAATTGCCTTGTTGGTGCTCTTACATCATGATGCTTGACCAGGTACAGCCGAAGTAGAGGGCACGACCTTTTCGATATTCGAGCCTGTTGCGGGCTGAGCTGGCAAATAAGAAGGCTGCGGTGGTGCCGGTGCGTAAAACCCGGCGAGGCTTTGGTAATTCTGTCCGACCGGGTTGGCTTGAGGGGCGGCTGGTGCTACGGCACCAATCCCGTTGGGAACTGGACCAAATCGCACTTGTCCCGCCTGCGACTGTTGTGGTGGTTGCGATAACGACTGCATCGCCACCGGATACGGATAGTAAGGAGTAGTACCTGGTGGTGGCGGAGGTGGATAGTACATGCCTCCTGCCGGCAACATAGGTGGTAGAACAACGCCTGCAGGCCTCGTTATATTCCGTTTGTGCGTATCGATGCATGCTATGACGAAAAGAATGAAATGATCGATGGTTGCCAAGCAGAAGAAAGCAAGGACGGCTTGGATCATGGGCAGATACGTGCCGTTCCTGTATAGTTCGATATCATTACGGCGACAGTAACTATAGCTATAATACGAATAGCGCTCGGTTTCGTCATCGGCGCAATCTCTGATCATAGCCTGTACGGAGAGGGAAATCGAAGCCGTAATAAGAACGGCGAATGCGCAGGCGAGCCAGAAGCAGAGGTGCAGGGCGACGTGTGCCCCTGGGTGAATCCCTCGTTTAACGTCCTTCCGTGAGCGAATACCAAAGGTGATTAACTCAGCACCGTTCCATAGGATGGCAGCGATGGTGATGGGAAGGGCATATAGTACCATGCCTTCGGCACCAGCATCATCATCAAGGAAGGCGCATGATAAGGCCAGGATTATGATAGCGAATATAATCGAGAAGACTGTGAGAACGAGCTTGTTGGCCGCCCAGGACTTTGAATAAGGAGGATGGACTCGAACAGCCTGCGCACACGGGTACGGTTGAGGCTGGTAGGCATATGGCCCATAAGGTGACGGATACTGAGGATACGGTTGTGGGAGTGGCTGCTGGTGTGCAGGCGATCGTGGTTGAGTAGTTGGATCTCCTGCTGTCCTAGCTGGCATCGGCGGTGCGCCCCCATTAACAGGTTCTCCAAGCTGGTCTCTCGTTGCCGGAGCCGGAACGTTCTCGTGGATTGCTGAAGTTGGGCTGCTCACAGACGAAACTTCATTCTCATCCCTCGTCTGAATTGTCGGCTGTGGATTCTCGTTCGAAGCCATCTTGGTGATAATTAGTTAGTTACAATATAAGAGGTAACTAGTTAGGTATCTAAACGATTTATGTTAACGTAGGAATAGAAGTGAATGCACAAAGATTAAAAATTAGTTGCAATAATAATAAGCAAGAACGACTGTATGGAAATATTTCCAGCAATGTAACGAACGACGGCGAGCCGGATGAGAACTCCAGCACGAGAATAGGCTGACAAGAAATAGAGAGATGAATCGAAGGGGAAATCTTGCCGCCTTTGATTTGAAAATAAACGAGAGCCAAGCTTTTCAGCCCTGGTCATCTTTTAAAGAGTCAGCGCGATTTGCTATTAGCGTAGGCATGTTACATGTCCACCTCCTACTATATCAAGGTCGCCACTATACTATATATATAGTTACATGTTCCTATAATTACTAGTTATCACTAGAGGTAACTAGGTTAGTTGGTGTTGTTTCTTTTCTTCTCTACGTAGTAATTCTAGACAATATTTAGACAAATAGGCTACCTTTACATACATCTCGTAAATAACATCTCATGATCAGGATAGTGACTCACTAATAATCATCCAACGGTAAGTAGCATCAACATTGTGATCTAGGCAGCCCTTAAAATCCGACAATGAGATTTAGTTCGGATTTTAAGTTGCGGCGCAGCTAGCTAGAACTAGGTTAGGTACCTATGCACATGTAATTCTAGATCGGCCCTAATCTACCTAAGACTGCAGGGGAAGGTGAACATTAGAGACTAATGCATGCAACTAGAACGGCTTTGCAGCAAAAGGAACAATATCTTAATAAATTGAAACATCGCTTAAGCATTTACTAGAAGATAGATATGCAATAAGAGGGATTCATATGAAATTCAACAGCATGGATCATTCACAAGCTGCCCGTCTAGACTTTACCTTGTAGGTAGGTACCTAGGTACCTAATCTCATACCAATTATCCTCAGTGTTTCCTAGCCAGCTTCGACCGAGCTCGAATTCTCGCACCGAAAAAGTATAAGACGTAGACCAATGCTACAAGGCCAAACGAGATGAAACCTAACGTCGCCATCGCCCACTTAGCACCTAGATTATGAAACATGACGATGCCTGCATTTCCACACGTTAGGGCAACTCGGAAAACGATTTGCATTGGAAAACACTCACCTATATGGCAACAAGCAGCCGCAATCAGAAAAGACGGTATCAAAAATGCAGCTATCGCCGACGCAGCAACATTAGTATAGGAATCAGCGATATAATTAAGCATACTGAGCCACAGTAACGGGTCACAGAAGCCTAACAGACCACCTGCTATTACGGGCGACCAAAACGACACGCTTCCGTCGCAGGTAAAAGCGAACCATAGGAGGGATATCGGGAAGCCCCAGACGAATAAGAGCGAAGTCAAGAATCTCGCTTCTGGGCGACCGATACCACCGTTCCTCATACGGTCGCGCTTATAAAACCAGGTCTGAACCGGCACAAACGCGAACATGATGGTTACGCTGACGACGAAATTAAGAAATGTCAAATCAGCTGACATATATCTGGTCCAGTTAGAGTCGATATCCTTCTAGCTAAGATGGGAGATACTTACGATAGCCCGTTATTGACTACGAAGACATCAAATACTCCATCTAGATATAAGTAGAGCAGCCCATAAGCAAACCCATTGTAGATGCCCAAGAAGGTGACGATGGGCTCGGTCAGCATAATGCGAAATGCCATTGAAGTGACAAACCGCATTTCCCGAAGGACATCAATACGTTCTTCCATAACAACGAGTTCGGTTGGATCCGATGAGTTGTGTGCCTTGGCCGCTTTACTAATGACCATCCGTGGTAACGTTTCTGGAATGAAGCACATGATGATGGCAAAACCACCAGCGATGATAACGCTATCTGAGGTCAGAACCAAGTGTCCCTAAAGCTCGCCCATCATGGAGCAAGTTTCCGAGCGCAGACTCACTTGATCCAGAATATCCACGGCAGTCCCAGGTGCTCGTTCTCAGCAATCAATTCTCCAATAGGAGAGCCTATGCTTGGGCCATAATTTGCCGACATCACGAACAGCGCCATAGGCTGACCAGCTCCATCCAAATCGCCAAAGAGATCAGCAATAGTGCCAGCCACATTGGAGAGAGCCGTGCTCCCAGCAGCTCCGCAGAGGAATTGAAAGATGATCAGCATTGGTAAGTTGCGCGCCAATGCCGTGCCGATGTTCAGAATCGCATAGACGCCGATGGACACCACATAAATCCATTTTCGTCCTCCGATATCACTAGAAAATACTATTTAGCTTTTATAAAAGGAATCGACCTGTTTTTAATAGCAGCAATACTAAGGACACACATACGATAGAGGGCCTAAAAAGGCTGGCCCGACAGCTGTCCCTACGATGAACATGCTCTGACCAAGAGCTACTACTTGAGTAGACCCGCCATACTTCTCCTGGACGAGAAACTCGGCGCTGACGTAGGTCGTGGTCGAGAGGGTAATGAATACTTGAAGCAAGCAGTACACGGCGATGATGGACCATTTCTTTATCGAACTCCAGTGAATGGGGTGAGATGCGCTACTAAACTCGACTTTCTGAAGGGCAGAGAGCGCCGCATCTGTGTCCGAATCAGGGGCATGTGTAGTCGGTTGCTCGGCCTTCTCTTCCATTCTCCTTGCGATAGCTACGTGAGGATCGCTTCATCTGACGAATTCATGAAGAGATTTTGGCTACCAGCTGGAAGTTGAGAGCTATGCGCTACATTACGTACATATCCACTAACATCAGCACACTCAGGGGCGGATGTCAGCAACCTGCAAATCTTACTAGAACCTGAATAATACCACATCAAGATAATTGAAAGCCACCGAGAACAAGGGGATCTACGAAATTCTCCCTGGCCCACCGACTTGGGCCCAATCAGATATCCCATACGCTTATCATTAGATTGGGTCGCCCTGCACATATGTAGGGGTGTCGGCTCGGAATTCGGGTTAAGGCGTCGAATGACGTCCACATTAACAAAGCTAGACTACGGATTCGTAGTTTAATTGGTCCAGCAGGCTGTTCAGGCCTTATTTCCGTAACTCGGATGGATCGGTCACGCCGGCTTGATGATACCACAGAAAATTGCTAGACTACATAGGTGAAAACTATCCTCATTGCAAGATAGTCAGCTCGAGAACGTCCATGGATAAGACATATCTATGCTAATATTCATGACATGATAAGTTCATGGGCGGTACACTAGTAATATTAGGTGCTTAACTCCGAGTTATTTTCTATCACCAAGCTACTGAGTCTTCAGCCTAGCGCCTCGTACAATATTTCGTACTACTCTACGGAAAATTTCCGGGGGGTAAAGCAATGGTAGGAATGAAGGTATGACGGGTACTTAAATTATCGGTGCTTACGTCCTAATCAATGTCAAAACTGACTGAGATCAGACCTAACTATCTCTTCGAACATGGCCCCGGAGCTTAATATCCATAGTTGTCTATACCATCTAAGACCCCATGATAGCATGGAAGATATCATAAACATACACGATTATTATAAGTACTACTTGAACTCTACTTATCTATCAGGAGACCATAACAGGATCGCATATACAAGACGATCAATGGATGGGTTTATTGAAGGTCATTAGCCTCTAATTAGGAGTCATAATCGTTCAAATACTTACAAATATTATAACTAGTTCCTCGTATCTCAACACACATGTTTAGCATTAGGTTTACATGAGCAGGTAGGTACCTATCTATACCTAGGTATGCATATTTTCCTCTGGGATCAGGCCCCCCTTACGTAGACATAGAAGTACTCGGATGATAGAGAACTGGGTTCGCCTCATGTCACGTATGCCTAGGAATGATATATATGTTTTCTTTTATTGATGCCGGTATAGGTAGAAAATAGCTACGTAGTCCCTCTCTAGAACATTTTTATTATGGTTGACTGACTTTAGTACTATGAGATGAGAATGACAATGACAATGATGGGTGCTAACATTCCATGCCTTAGTTAGGTGTTTTCGTAAAGGTCAATATGACGGGTTTTAGCTTATACAGCTACGTCGCACACAGGTTCTTAAGCAATAGACTTATATAATGTGCAACATACCTAACCTACCTAAGGTATAGACGATATCTTATAGTGTTATCTCTAACGGCATGATACGAATACACAGATAATAAGATGTGTATGAAATAAACATAAACCATCGATCATTGTACGTATTATATATGAATATTATGGTAAGGAAGGTAGTTGGAATAAGCTCAACCAGCATTGGTATAACGTTAACGTTGAAGGCTTAGGCTAGGTATACGTACTCTAATTTCGTCAATTGCTAAAAGGGTTGACTCTAGCTTGCATCGTTAACCATGATTGGATAAGAGTGTTGTACAACTAGCCGGGATTGAATCTATTGACGGGGGAAAGTACATATTGTTTGACAACATGTTTGCATGGGCGGTTCCCTTCAGTGTAACTAATATGTTGTATGTTGTCTAAGAAAACGTATTGGCTAGCTGACGTCGCAGCGTACCTCACTTACACGATGAACGGTTCATTAGTGGATACCTAGGTACGTTATCCCTACCCGTTACGTTTCCGCCTACTTTTATAATTGATCCGGGGAAGCTGAGTTAGGTTCCATTTGATACAACAGTTGAGATCAGTAAATATTCTTCATCGTTCGTACGTACTCATTATGACTTTCCTTGATTCCTATTTTGTTATTCCGCTACCTGATCTTTGCACACTCGCAACACAATCTCTCGTTTAAATATGAGAATCACTTTAACCCATACCTTCGCTAATGCATATTTAAAATTATCCAACCAAATTTTAGGATAAAGATAGTAAATGGCCATCTAAGACCAGAAAGAATTTGTATCGATCGTCGAACCTGTAAAGTATTGACTCCGTAGTAACGAGGGAACTCCTGAATCCACGGGTTTCACTGTGGAGATGCGATAGTTTTAACCGATGTTGTCCAACGCCAAACTTGGTAAATGCATACTACGATATCCTACGAACTCGGCTAAGAGAGTCCTAGGTACCTTGCCACGTGAGCGGCGGCCTCGCCAGCAACCTCACCGGTTGCTTCTTGTCCCCCTTCACTACTCGCTCCATGGCCCGCCGCCTCGTGGGGGTTCGGAAAGTAATAGGCGGCCACGGCGATGGCGACATAGATGATAATGCATAAGAAGCCCTCTAGATAGTCGCTCTTCTGGTCCCTTAGGAAGTTTCCAACAGTGATAATAGCGAGAATCAACATGACAATATCGAAAATTTCAAAGTTAAGGTCCATCGGGAAGTCATAACCCCATCCGACAATAACAACCAATGGCGCATTTAGCATGGCGGTTTGGATGGTAGCACCAATACAATGTGTAAGGGCAAAATTAATCTGATTATCCCAGGCCTCGTCGATAGCCGTTAAGTGTTCAGCAGCTTTTTCGACCAGAGGAACCAAAATCAAACCCATGAAGGGGTCGGAAACGTGACCCTGTTCCACAATAGGCGCAATCTGGTCGACTAATGCAATGGCAATCAACGTTACAAGGGCTACCGAAATGGTTAGTGCCAGGATACACTCCGTAAATGTTAACTTGGCTTTCGCCCGGTCCTTGTGACCATCGGCGTCTCGTTCCTCGTCATGCTCGAACACAGCGTCGTAGATGCCGTGGTGGGTATGCATCTGAAAGAAGAGGAAGACGCCATATGCGATAAGGAGAAGGATTGAAATGATGCGTGAAATATTGAGGATCCTATCATCAATCTCTTCTGTGGTAAGGTTGTAGCCTGTACTGTTGATTGAGCGTTGGAAAACTGTAGGGATCGCTAGGCCAAGACCGCTGGGAGGTGTTAGCATTCAATAAAATTTAGAGCAGGACTGGGATTAGGGCATAGGCGTACGCAATAAGTAGGAGGTTCGAGCCAACTTCGCTGACAGCACCGTGAAACGTAGCCTCTTCTCGTCGTAGACCAGCGGTAAAGAAACACAATCCCAAGCATAGTAGCATATTAGCTAAAATAGATCCGAGAATGGCAGCTTGAATAACGTAGTACTGGTTTTTACGAAGCAGAACCATGAATAAAATAATCTCGACGATGGATCCAATGGTGGTCTCGACGAGAACACCAAGCATATGCGGCATCTTCCTAGCTAGCTCCTGGCCAGCGAATCCAATGAGATTTGCGCATGGAACCATGGCGATATACGCCAAGCTGAACTTGAGTATATCATAGCCTTCATGAACCGCGAAATGGAGAGCGATTGCAGCGGGTACGAAAGGCCAGAGGATGTTTACAGCCCTCGATATCCAACTAGTAGATCGCCAAATGATTGCTATGAATTGGAGAGGATGTATGCCCCTTCGTCCTGATTCCCCTGCCGACTTAATGCGTACCAGGCCGCGGATCCCACCCTCTGGGCTACCCATGGTCTCTTGTCGAGTCTGAGGAAGTGCCGATGCTTGCTTGTTGGTCTGGGAACGTCGTGTAATTTTCTCGCGACCCCCGATAACACCTTCGCCGTTTGCCGTCATCACGAAGCTTCCAACTAGTTTTGTTTCGGTACCATAAAGAGGACAAGCGGGGAATAGGAGAGCAAAAGAAAAAAAGAAAGTAATAAATGAATCTGACGCTGGTGAGAAAGAAAGTAGGTAAATAGAGAAAAATAAGACAGAAAAGCAAATAAATGTCTGGCGCTTATGAGTTCAATGCATCAGCCCCAGCGTAGTGAAACAATAAGAAAATATGAATAAATGATTTATTACCTACCCCATAGCTTATTAGCTTATGGCTTGGCCAATTCATAAATCCATCCACTTGGCGCGCTGCTGCTGCGTTGTTCTTTGCCAAGACGATGGACGAATTGATAACTGCTTCTGCTTTGCTTACAGTATTGAAGTACTTAAAGTACGAAGTACATTCATTATACAGTAAGTACATTGTCAGGCCTCCGATGGCACGTGCTGCACCAGATTTCAAGGATCTAGGTACCTGTGAAACGGCCTGTTTTAGATTTAACAGCCATAAATAAAGGCGGGGCATTAACATTTACATAAACGGACTTCTCGAATAAGGAGCGGCGCTTCGTATAAAGGAATAATTCAGAGATAAAGCTAGCTACCTAGGTACCTAACGAAGGTGATCTTCCATGTCATATTTAAGATATCTAAGAAGCGAGACAGACTAAACATTATTCTTTTCTTTATGAACTAATTATTCCGTATGTTGAATTTTGATAGGCTTAACTATGAAAATCAACCTCCTTACCTACTCATATAATTTAAACGAGTACTCTCTCCTGTAATTTATATATTGAATTGATAGGGTCAGGCCATTTGCTCTTTAAATTCAACTGAAGGATCATCAACATTTAAGTAAGTGAGTGTCTGTTTATGCACTTTATGTAGATACTTATATGTACTGTTTTATATTCATTAACTCTACCAGAGAATACTCCAGTAAACGGAAGTGGTAGCGTTCTACTTGGATATTTCCCTAGGTTGGATATCACCTAAGCCTGGAATTCTTCTATGACTGCTAGTAATGCATCCCGTTCCTTGACCGTTGCTAACGTTTTCCACGCCTGCTCTAGGTAATTTGGTCTTTCTCTTCTCTCCCAGGGCCTACCACGGATGGAATATAGATACCAGCAGAGGCGGTAAAAGAGTATCATACCAGGCGCTGGTTGAACGCGATAAAGATAAACGGGATTGACAATCCAGCAGATATGCTGACTATAGGTAGGCAGTTACCTTTTAGCATTGTAGTATATAATAATTTGTCCAAAACGCTATACTTACGCATCTATTTTAGAACGTATCCTAGCTCAAGGTCACCCTGATTATTCTTTGGGAACACGTCGATATGGATAGCGAAGAATGTAGCCATAAACGAAAGCGGGAGCTGGTTTGGGCACTCTCTACGACGCGGTTCTGCCTCGAGGATGTAAGCCGAGCAGTCGAGCATTCAACGTTAGCGAGCTTGAAGGTTTTCGCAATATCTTCTAGAACTACTTGCTGATCCTACAGGATCATATTCAGAATATTTAGCTCGTCGTGAATATCTTCCACTTCGACTAGCATTCCCGCCTCTGCGATTAAGTCTGGGCAGTATGCGTCGTCGCTGTCCAAGACCCTACGTGTGGTAAAAGCACGGAAATCTCTAAGCAACCCCATGGTTTGATCTGCCTATATAAAGCGCATGTCAGCTTAAATATTTATGATCACCGTGTCTTAATATGGCATGCAGTTCTACCGAGAGATGCCTCAAAGAAATCAAAGAATTGGGAGTGTCCGGGTACTTTCTCAGGGCCGAAAATATTGATGCAGGCCTTCATGATCAAGTCCGCCATCCCATAAACAAACGTAATCGGCGCTCTATGGATTGTGCGAAGATGGTCCCGTATTATACTATAAATACCAAGAGGGTTTTCTTCAATTGTCCCAGAGCCTTCACTCCTGGATTGGTTATATAGCTCTGATATGAGAAAACCCTCCGAGTATTTGCAAGGCGTGGGGAGGCAACTAATAAGGGTATCTAGCGACAGAATTAGAGGCAATAGGTCCAGATATAACAATGTACCCACCGCCGTTAATAATCCATAGCCAGAGCTGATCTACCATAAAAAGCTTGGGTACTCGGTGCTCGGCAGTGAACCGTGACACGACTTGATCCTTGTCTCTCTGAGGAGAGGTATCCAGGTGAGTATAAAAGTATTGATCAAGCGTCTGTCTTAATTGTAAAGTAGATCCACGACTTGAAGATTCGGGTCTGAGGTAACCTTCAATTAGACATTCGTGCAAATTTGATGAGGTCAGTGCTGTATGTCCTGGTGATATTCGTGGTGTAGTATTAGAGCCACCTTCATTCATTTGCTGCAGGTCCCTGTTCATTGAAGCATTGCCGGATAACTGAGCATTTGTGGACCTAGCCGTATAATACCCCGATGTATTGGATATATTCGAATGGTTCTCTAGCGGGTTAGACGGGCATGTGAATGACTGACGCACTACCTTCGACATCAAAGACACTCCATCTACCGTATCAAAATGAAGGAATGGGACCTGATCGAAACCTCAGCGAAACCTCAACACGAAATTTGTATCATGCGATGACTTACAAACAAAGCAAAGTGGTAGATATTATCATCCACGTGGTTATTTAGCTTTTTCTGTTGATAGGTATGATGCATTAGCTTAGTCTAAGCCATATCTTTCTCAGTCCTCAAACCTTCAATATGTGGCAACCGGGTCGTTTTGACGCAGGAAGTGCGGTGCCAATCGAGTGGTTGGGGCCCTGTAAAGATTGTATTCCAAGACGAGTTTTATCATCTTCAGGGAGGAGATATAGCTCATTTCCAGCCTCTGTCAAGTGTCTTGTAAGAAGCACCTATGTTTTGCAAAATATTAAGCTATTGTGTAGCAGAAGGGGGGGGAAACTAAAGCCTCAAATCTCGTATACAGTACGAATGGTGGGATAACTTACACCAACCCATTCAAGCTATGTGTTCTAGTTAGTAAGGAGCTAAGTAAAGATATAAATAACCTTGTGCGAACTTACGTTATTAGAGAGGAGATGATACTACCTAAAGCCAAGTGGATTGTTGGGAATACTAGGTGTTGCTTCTTTCATTAAATTCGTCGGTCCTATTCCGTATAGGGCTTCATAGATGGAGGCTAATACCTCAACTCGCCTCTCGGTTTCACCAATGAAAAAGTCAGTAATGCTTACTCTAAATCCATGGCATGCTGTCATTTTGTCAAGATTATGATATGGAGCTTGGGGTACGTTGGCTGTATCTGAGATGACGGCCCCTGTCGTCTCTATAGAATGCGAAATAGAAGGCCCCTCAAGAAAATGGCTATTAACCAACATCCTTGTCATTTCTTCTGACCCACGGGCTAGGTCTATAGCAGACAGATCACTATCACTCCTCGTACTATAGTCTGCGCCATGGTGCAAAAGGAGCCGAACCATTGAAACGTTTCTTCTTTCAACTGCAACCATCAAGGGGCTGAAGGTAGACTGGTTTTTGACATGTACATCAGCCCCCCAGTTTAACAGGACTTTTGTTGTTTCAAGATCATCTTTTTCGACAGCTTGGTGGAGAAGTAGGGGACCGTTTCCAATGGTCAGCTCAGTGTTTGCACCGCGCTCAAGCAGGAGTTCTGCTATATCGTAGAAACCCAGGTCGACTGCAAGCTGTAAACATGTTTTGCCGTTGATGCCGTATCCATCAAAAGGGACACCACTATCCAGGAGGATACGAGCTATACCGGGGCGGCTGTTTTGAATAGCTGATTGTAGCAGTGTTATTTCTAAGTCTGACCCAATCCTGTGTGGAGGGCTCATCTCCCTAAACAGCGAGCGAAACAAACCCTCGTCGCCGTTCACTATTGATGAAAACAGCCTAGCAGAGCTGTCTAGGACCGAATCACGTATTCCATCTGGTGACGAGGTATTATCCATTGGAGTAAGTCAAAGCACCCTTACAGGGGCCACCCTAGTGGGGGCCACCTCAAATTTTTAGACCTTCAAAATAAGTACTTTAATTTCAATTTAATATTATTTAATTAAATTAAATTTAATTAATTTATAATTTGTTATATTTTAACGATGATATAGTCCTTTACTATTAATTTAATTAACGAGGTTTTATTTTCTAAATTGGTATTGGAATTGTTAATTGTAATTATACTATCTAATTTTTAGGTTTTTAATTACTTTTTTTTTTATAATAACCTTAATATTTATAAATGTTGAATTTGGGTTAGGTAATATCTTACGCCGTTTTTATAGTTTTGTATTTACTAATATTTTTTTTAAATATTTAACGTAGGCCTTTGTTATGGCTAATTTTATAGTAGTTTTATCGAAAACTTTACCAATTTTATTAAATAAAAACCTTATTGTAGATTTAATAAATATTATATTAATCTTGGATAGTTCTTTAATTAAAATATTAATATTTTATAAATTTAAAGGCGTTGTTAAAAGGATTGGAATTATATTTTTAATAAAATTAGGTTTTTTTAGGTTAGAAATAAGGCTTAGAAGGGTTAGGGTAGTATTGGGAATTTCTTGGAGTATAAGTTGATGATTTAACAGTTTATTTTAATCTTTAGAATAAATCTCCATAATCTTCTAGTTAATTAATATATTATATTTGGTTAAACGTTTTTTTTGTACTATTTAATAAATTATAATAAATTTCTTTTTATTAGGATTAGAAATATAATATAATTGGTATATTTTAATAAGTTTATAATAATAGTTTTATTTTATTAATAAAAATATATCCACGTTAGTAATTTATAAAACGTACGATGAGTGTATTGGAATAAAAATAATGTAGATTTTATTTATAAAGTATTCTTAAAGGAATTCTATTATGGTATAGTTATTATAGCTGTTAAAAATTAATAATTGCTATTGTTAACGATTTAATGGCTTTATTTTTTTTAAAAAGATTTTACGAAGTTATTTAAATATAATATTATTATTAATTTAATTATTAGGAAATGTAATGAATTTTTAACCTTTAAATTTAACGTCTTTATCGTTAAGAAATCACTATTATTATATATATTTACCTATATATATAATAAGGGGATTCAGAAATCAGCCGTTACTATTAATATATTTAATAATCGATATCTAGGTTTTATTATTATAGTCTTTAACCACGATACGTTTTTTATAAGCCTTATTAATAACTATCCTATTATTCCTAACCCTTTTTATAATTTCTATCTTATTAGCGTTGTACGTATGCCTGGTTAGGATATTCTTGATCCTAAAGGCTTTAAGTTGGTTAAAAAAGATATTAATATTATTAATTATAACCTTATTAATTTATTTATAATCGATTAAATAAACCCTAATTAATTTAATATTAAGATAATAAGATAAAAATTATATATATTAATATTTACCGAGGATATTAAGCCGGTAATTGTAGGTTAATAGTTTTCTTATAATATCTTTAAATCGATATAAAAAAGGCATATAGTTAATATGGCTTAACGTAACGGCCCAATCAACTAATTCTTTTTCTTAATATTTCAATAGCTTCTAACGTTCTTTTAAATAATCGTTTTATATTTTACAGCCTAATATTTGGTTTGTAAGGTAGTATTATAATATAAAGTATTTTTTAAACGTTTACCGCAAGGATACGCTGTTGAGAACGTTGTTTATTATTGTAGCGCAATGTAATTAAGTTAAGAAAATAGGTATTTTAAAATCGTAAAAAAATAAGGATTTAAATGATAAATTTTATTTTTTAATTAACTAAAAATTGATAAAATTATATAATAATTTATATGTAAACTTCATTGCAAACGCGTTGCGTTTTTGAGGTGGCCCCCACTAGGGTGGCCCCCGTAAGGGTGCTTTGACTTACCTATACTAATGAATAAAAAGGGGAACCTAGCTATGGGAAGCTTGCTCTATGTAAATACCTGTAGCTCAAAATGAAAATGAGTATGAATCCGTATAATAATAAATAGTTAGGAACAAGTTTAAGCTTGCCAGGCTTATATTTTACTTTATATAGGTAAGATAGGTGGCTTTTATTTATCTCAGTACCTTAGACTATATTTTAATATGGAAGCGGGTTGCGCCCGCTTATGCTACGCAATATATACCTACATAATAAGCACCTAAGCTAGCTTGTGTTGTTATATTCAATACTTACAGGTTACGGACGTGGCGTTCTATGAATTTTAAAGCTAAATAATTTAATATGTATAAATATTGTTTATTAAGCTATTTCTTTTGGTTTAAAGGGGGAAACCTTCCTAATCAAGTTATAATAGCCCCTCGTAAGTGTGTATTTTATGTGAACTATGCCTATTCTAAGATCTTATCTTGGTTGTTGTAGATTATATAGATTAGATCGTGCAAGAGGTATAGGGGTCTTCCGGTAGCGAGCCTAACTTTCTGAAGCTATTGGCTAATAGCTCATGCCTGACGGTCAATAGGATAATGACACAAGCCACTCCCCTCACGTATCGGGACAGATCTGCATCAGCTCGACCATCAGCTCGACGTATTTTACCTCCCGTCATTTTTCAGGCCCTGCAGTCTCGATATGAACCTAAAGGTCTGAGTTTACAATCCCCCCTTCTCAATATGAACGCCTTTTCCTTCAAATCCTAGTAATTATTCTATGGTGTTCGTAATATCTCAATATTTTGACTGTTTGATAAATACTAACAACTATGATAATTATGGCAGCTGTCCTTCTGGCCGGTTGCTCCTCATCAAATGACTTAAGAAATGTCTATTTACTATCTCTTTCGTACAAAACGAAGTCTGCCTCTGCATTGACGGATCCTCTTCAAATCAACCCAAGTATAGGAGAAGCATTTCCCAATGCTCTTAGTCGCAGTAACAAAACGATTCAGCGGATAAATATATCCCATATGGGCTTATGCATTCAGCTTATGTCTGGTACTTGGACTTGTGGAGGCGATACACAAGACGTTGTAAACATTTTGAAAAGCGATTCTCAGTCGAACCCCTTTAATTTAGTATGGGCTGTAGACAAGTTCAGCAATGAAGTTACATCTTTTCCCTTAATATAAGTTATGTACTTAATTTTGCTAAAACTTACATGTTTATTGAAGATCTCTTGCCCAACCCTCGCACCACCTAGTAAGCCTTTGGTTTTGAACCGTATTTGCCTCTAACAGCTTGTTAGCTTTGTTGCCGCTGCTCTTGCGTCAATATCGGCTCTGTTGATAGTAACGTTTCCGACTGAGACTGAGGATATGGACTGGGAGGGAAGTGAACGTCAAGTAAACCCATTTCCATCTCGGCTGAAGTGTTATATGGCCGCAACCTTCTCGTCACTTGCAACGTTCTGTTCGTTCGTTTCGGTTTTCTGGCAGCACATCGCCTGTGCATGTGCCTCGACATTATTTGAAGCGTTAACATATGATACGGTTGAAGTTCACACCGGCTGGGCTGCTATGCTTTGTGACTGGTTTGGATTTGGCCTCATTTGCATTTCTTCAATCGAATTGTTCTTGCTCATACTTGCGATCAAAGTCTTGGTTGTACTTGCAGATTAAGTATTAGTGCTGTCTATTGAGTTGTCGTGCCCTTCGGGCAAAAGTCAACAAGATGTAATAAACATTCCTTAATAACTTTACGAAAAAGAAAAGAAAAGTTGCAGTAAAATTCGCACGAAATCTCGAAAACTGTGGCGCGAGAATACCTGAGATACACTAAAAGCAACTATAATGTTTTATACCTTATATCTTATACTAGACGCCATCACCTTTAAAGACCGCCCCAGGTATATTTCAAACACGAGCCGTGAACAGCCATTCATTCTTGTCGAGCCTCTAACTGAACGTGTGGTTCAGGCAAAGCCTTCCAAACAACAGTAATCTCCTTAGCCTTATTCTCTATTTCATCAGTACCATACGAAGTCTCTTCCAATTGATCCGCTACCCCTAAAATTTCAGCGCTTCCAGGCCCGTATATAAGCCAGGGAAGAAAAGAAGCTTTCCAAGCCGGAAATTGTTTAAGCGCCGTAGAGTATACTGTTACTATGAATAGTAACATAGTTAATACTACTATTGATGATAGAAACAGCATCCACAGCCACCTGACATGTATACATGTTGCGTAATGGAAGACTTGCCCAACGGCAGGGTCCGAATAGTTCTCGTGACCGTGAGTTCGAATCCACGTAGTTAACGAATCAGAAATACTTGAAAACGTCTGCTGGATGCGGTCAAAGTCAATGCGCCCAGCATCATATATGTGTTGCAAAGTCTGGGGGCCGTCAAATGTGTCAAATATCATGGGCCCGTTGATCCCTATGATTACCGTAGCAGCTTTAAGTGCCCCATTGAAATTTTTACGTATGGCTGCTGGTCCTATAACGGTCCCAAATACATAATCCATACCATTATAAACATTTTCGAGCAAGAAGGGAGTCCGTTAGTGACGACTTGGTTTCCGGGTAGGATTCGTTGTAGGGAAGCCATCGATGAGTCTTGTCAATACTATACCCTTTGCCTACTAATTCGTCTATATCTTGCTGTGTTATACAGTGTGTATCTATCATTCCGAGCTCAAAATTAGTCTCACTCCCTGTTTTATTCATCCAAACTCCTGTACCCCAGGCCGCAGTCGTCGACTGGGGAATCAGCGCTCAGTGAGACGACCCGCTTCTACTGTAGCATTATAGACCCGCACACACGGCTGGATTGTAGCTGGATTGTACAAGTTGCAGCTCCGTACCCTCTACAGCGCCACGAGTTGACTAATGTTTTGTTCTCGCAGCTTGCTATCGGATTTCCGGTAACAACGTCCATGTAATTATCTGATAGAGGTGTTTTTCCGGCGAGTATCTCCACAGAAACCGTCCAATCTTCATTCGTAAATTCGCCAACGAAGGTGTCAACCTTAGCCACTTCCATGTTATCATAGCCATAGCAAGTGCCCCCGAAGTCTGATGTAGAAAAATTTGTTACGTTCAACTGTGAAATTCCCGGTGATGTTCGTGTTGAGTTGCTCCTTGGAATACTGGATTTGATTATGCGGAAGACGGCGGAATGATCCGTGCAGTCGATATTTAAATCGCTCGATTTGTTAGAAATAGTAACACAAGACGATTCTATAGTTATTTCTTTAGATATATCCTCGCAAGCACTACAGTACCATATAGTGCTATAAAGGTCTGAAAAAGAGCAGTTTCCAGTTGAAAAACTCCCTGTAATAATGCCGACTGAAATCCAATGCTAGATTCATCGTAAACATGTGGGGGGCGAGCTGGGTCGTAAAAGAAGTTTGTTCGAGGCAACGTAGCCCTTTTATCCGACATGACCACGCTGCAGCCAGATGGACTTATCAGTTGCTGTATAGAAGGATCTATTCCTATAGAGGCAATAATAAGAAGGCCACCCAAGGCAGTAAGAGGCTGATGTAAGCGTTGTGCCCAGAGAAGCTGTAGTGAACCCCATGCTCCGCGTCCCGCGTTGTCGAATCGAGTTAGGTCATACAACGGACGGCGTGCTTGTGCAAACCAATTCCACTGGAACTGGCCAATACATGACATAAGAATGAAGGACAAGCTGGCTCTTAGAATGATAGAGTATATCGAAAGCAAAGTGTTTATCGAGATTCGGAATGGCCACTGGGGTAACGGGTGTCCATTGTGTGGATATAGAGTAGCAAATATAACGATGAGGATAGCTAGGATAAGTAATCAACTCGCGGCTTCCCATTTCCAAGCGGCATATAAGTATCTCAGGCCAGTGCCGAACGTCCAGGCTTGTCCAACCAATTTCCTCGGCGCGGCTGGGAGCTCAGGTGGAGATATAGGCCCTCCTGAATCTTGAGAGGGGTGTGACCGAAAGGTATGATCGAGGCCGTTGGCCACTAGACCTGAACATTCTGAAGAGAGTGAATTATATGATACTACGCCCATAATGAGATGCAATGATTCTGGTATGAAGATGTCACACAACTGATATGTGTTATTAGGGCCTTTATATGAGGCAATATTGATGAAATTCTTGATGATCTGATTGATTGTTGTAAGATCGTGGGAACGCGTCATTCACCGCGGATTACATGGAATTAGGGAATTGTCACATAAATGATACGTGTTATTAAGGCTTTAATATGCCCTGAGTATAGGAAGGGTTATTATGCCGCATTCTTTTTTTCTATGCAAACCAACATCTGCAATAGGCAGTAGGGTTTCTTAAAGTGGAAAAGAATTATTATAAGTCAAAGCACCCTTACGGGGGCCACCCTAGTGGGGGCCACCTCAAAAACGCAACATGTTCGCAATAAGATCTATATATAAATTATTATATAATTTTATTAGTTTTTAATTAATTAAAAAATAAAATTTATTATTTAAATTTTTATTTTTTTACGATTTTAAAATGCTTATTTTTTTAGCCTAATTGTATTGTGTTGCAGCGATAAACGACGTTTTCGACGGCGTATTTTTACGATAGGCGTTTAAAAAATATTTTATATTACAATATTATTTTACAGATTAAATATTGGGTTATAGAATATAAAACGATTATTTAAAGGAATATTAAAAATTATTAAAGTATTAAGAAAAGGAATTAATTAATTAAACTATTATGTTAAATTATATTAATTATACGTTTTCTTTATATTAATTTAAAGATATTGTAAAAAAATTATTAGCTTATAATTATTAGTCTAATATTTTCGATAAATATTAATATATATAATTTTTATTTTATTATTTTAATATTAAATTAATTAAAATTTATTTAATTAATTATAAACAAGTTAACAAGATTATAATTAATAATATTAATATTTTTTTCAACCAATTTAAGGTTTTTAAAATTAAAAATATCCCGGTTAAGTATACGTATAATATTAATAAAATAAGGATTATAGAAAAAGTTAAAAATAACGAGATAATTATTAGTAAGGCTTATAAAAAGCGTATTATAATTAAAAATTATAACAATAAAATTTAAACATTAATTATTAAATATATTAATAACAATAATTAATTTTTAAATTTCTTTATTATATATATAAGTAAATATATATAATAATAATAATTTTTTAATAATGAGAACATTAAATTTAAAAATTGGAAGTTTATTACGTTTTTTAATAATTAAATTAATAATAATATTATATTTAAATGATTTTATAAAGTTTTTTTAAAAGAAACAAAATTATTAAATTGTTAATAATAACAATTATTAATCTTTAACGGTTATAATAGCCATATTATAATAGAATTTTTTTAAGAATATTTTATAAATAAAGTTTATATTATTTTTATTTTAATATATTTATTATATATTTTATAAGTTATTAATGTAAATATATTTTTATTAATAAAATAAGGTTATTATTATAAATTTATTAAAGTATATTAATTATATTATATTTTTAATTTCGGTAAAAAGAAATTTATTACAATTTATTAAATAATACAAAAAAAACATTTAATTAAATATAATATATTGATTAATTAAAAGGTTATAGGGATTTATTTTAAAGATTAAAATAAGTTATTAAATTATTAATTTATATTTTAAGAGGTTTTTAATATTATCCCAATTTTTCCAAACTTTATTTTTAACTTAAAAAAATTTAATTTTATCGAAAATATAGTTTTAATTCTTTTAATAACGCCTTTAAATTTATAAAATATTAATATTTTAATTAAAAAATTATTTAAAATTAATATAACGTTTATTAAATTTGTAATAAGGTTTTTATTTAATAAGATTAATAAAGCCTTTAATAAAATTATTATAAAATTAATTATAATAAAAATTTACGCCAAATATTTAAAAAAGGTATTAATAAATACAAAGTTATAAAAATGGCGTAAGGTATTATTTAATTTAAATTTAACATTTATAAATATTAAGACTATTATAAAAAAAAAGAATAATTAAAGGTTTAAAAATTAAGTAGTATAATTATAATTAATAATTTTAATATTAATTTAAAAGATAAAACCTTATTAGTTAAATTAATAATAAAAGATTATATTATTATTAAAATATAATAAATTATAAATTAATTAAATTTAATTTAATTAAATAACGTTAAATTAAAATTAAAATATTTATTTTAAAGGTTTAAAAATTTGAGGTAGCCCCTACTAGGGTAGCCCCTGTAAGGGTGCTTTGACTTAATAGAAAGTGTCTTTACTAACATAAGGGCATCCTTGCGGTGCGCCACAATAGCCTACCTAAAGTTTACAAAGGTCATAAGTCGATTTATATGGGTAAGTAGATCACGTTGTAACATACCTTTCTGCTTTTCTTTGGCAGTTGCAGTTATTAACCTTAAATATTAACTTTTATAAAGAAATACATATATAAAAAAAAAAATAAAAAAAAAAGGAAATCATATATAATTAAAAGATATTTTATAATGTTATAAATGTATTAATTAATTAAATTTATATAAATAACAGTAAAATACGTGTTTTCACAATTTTATAATAAAACTAATTGATTTAATACTTTTATAAAAGCTAACCCTTACTGGGAAAAATGATATCCTTGACTGGGCCTTTCGACATGAACCTTTTAAGATATGGAATCTAAGTGGCCGCCTTAAACAGGCTTCAAAGTGTATATGTTTCAGTAAAGCTGTCAAAGTCGTCTATCCAAAACCAACGGTGCTACTAAGAGCTACACCTATTAGATAAGGGCAAGGCAAGATATAGGCCAAAGAGTAAGATAGCGAGCCCGACAATAAAAGAAAACAAAAGCAAGGACAGTCGGCTAGAATATGAAAGTAGCTTACCCTCTAAACTAAGCAGTTGCATATGACAACAGGTGTGCGAAGTAGATGCTAGAGAATAAAAGGTGTTAGACCAATAATAGGGATAGCAGGCTAACCTAGAGGAATCCTGACTCAATACACGTCAATACCAGCTGTGCGGTGATACCGTAATACATATTTTCACCCTATAACTCTATGGTATTGCTTTCTACCAATGTACTTCTTTGTTGCGCTTTAATTAAGGAATCGGCCAGCAATTGGAGATTGATCCGGAATACTTTTGAGTAATTTAATTTTATAACTTTTTATAAATATTTTACCCCATGAGATAAATCAAACTTAATCCCAGTAGCTTGCTCAATAATATATATGCCTAGTGTGATATTTATGGTACTTAAGTTAAGACTGTTTGAACCGTGTTCTATATTCGCGCAGGGGCTAACATATGAGCTAGTTAAACCCCTGGACATATTTCTCCTCAACGGGCTGAGAAATAAGTCGGAGGGGGGGGATACGGACCCCCCTTAGATACGGACCCCCGGTCAAAAGTAGGTAGATTTTATCCCTTTTAGGCCTAGCGTGGTACATTACAGGGAAGACGCTAAATTCTCAGCTTACAATTGGTTAAAAGATTTTTGTTTGCCATTTTAAGCATAACGTACTCCCGATTAGGCCTAAGCTCTTTGCTAGCTCTTTTATTATTAAGGCTCGGATTGATTTTAGCCCGCTTCCCGGGCTTTAACCGAGCCACTAGCTATTTTAAGCTATCGCATTCGACTTAAACCATAGCCAATTAACATACGTATACGTTAATATTTTATTTTATTTTTAAAAATACGTTTTTTAATTGGTTTATTAAGTTTAAGCTAAAAATATTTTTACACAATTTTAAAAATATCACGTGACGTTTAGAAATAACCACCCAATTAAAAGATTGTTTTTACAATAATATTAAAATAAAAAATTTAATTGGTTAAAAGTGGAGTAAAATATAAAAATAGAAAAGAAAATATTAAAAAAAAGAATACATCGAGTTTACGTGAAAAAAAGTAGGCCCCTAGTAAAACCTTGAAATATGATTGGCTCATCTTGCAGGGGGTCCGTATCTAAAGGGGGTCCGTATCCCCCCCCTCCGACTTAAAATTGATATCTAACAAGAAAAGGAACCCGATTATAGTACTGGTATATCATTTCGTCACCCGAAATATAACCTATACAAGTATTCCAAGCCTAGCCAGAATCTAGCACGTATTCATATTTATACCCTTTACCTATCATTATCCAATCTAAATAAACCTTGCAGAACAGTCACTATTTTCCCTCGATGAGCCCATACCCTACCTACAAAAATAAAAATAAACTCGCATAAGCTGAATAGTATGAAATACTAAATGTATCAAGCTTGTCGCAGGCCCAACTCGATGTCCTCGTTTGTCGACGATGTCTTCTTCCAGGACTTCTCCAAGAACTGCCAGCTGCCGAGGACACCGAACATAAGGCTTGCAATTATAGTAATGTTAGTTACGCGGTATCCCGAAGGCCAAAGCGAGTAGAGCAATAGAGATACAAGCGACATCAGGACTCCGACCACAAGCAAGACGTAATAAAAAGAGGTTAACTTCTGTCGAAGCGTTGTTATATCTTCCTTAGTCGACACGACTGTAAACAGCAGCGGAGACAGCATTGATGCGGCTACTTGGGCAACCATGATTGGGTAGCTGTCGTCGTTGAGTGACGGGAGGGCGTCGTCTGGCCGTCCGGGAATTATGCTGACTGAGAGTGCCGTCCAGATCCCCATCAGGTGGCTGAAGATGACGACGGCGAAGCGAACTATCGCTTTGATGTCTGCTATTGAGTATAAATATGACCAAAAATATGCAATTGCGCGAGGGAGGGGGGTTATAGCCCATTTAGAGGTCGGCTTCAACGAACCATTATTGGTATCAGATAAATGATGATGACTCTGGTGTATGGTCGCCTCAGAAGAGCTTGAATCTGTGCTGACAGTTGCTAGTGTCTCTAGAGACTCGCGGCGGCCTCCAATTTGAATAGAACATGGAGCCGCGGACTCAAACAAAAGACGATCCAAATTGATATCGTTTATGACGTTGTCGTCACTTTCATAATTTGATCGTATCCTAGAGTGATTTGAATCACCGGTCATCGCGAGGCCATTTGCGAGCCTTGTTCGGTGGGAAATATCATGAGCCAACACCCCTGAAGAGGTATGTTAGATGAATGAAGTGTATTTATTAGTGTAAGCCTGACCTTGTTGAGGATGAGAATGATGCCCGTTTCCTGTAAAAGGGAGGCTTTCATTGAGGTGAGCTCCTACACCAAGAAGCTGGAGCGGCAATGGCCCAGTATAGATAACTGGCATAACCAAAGAAACATTTGCAGGATGCCAGGTAAGAGACGATACGGAACCATGAATATTGTGGTCAAGGGTTGTTGTTGTGTTTTGATCTCGCCTGGCATCCGCGAGAATCCCCATAATATCGCAACTTTGCTGGTTAAGACTGCTAGACATTGGAATATAAAGACAGGTAGTTATTTAAAATTTAAATGATGGTGCGGAATAGATCTTTTATAGATCCAACTCTTAGGTATTAGTTGATTCGAACTTAATACTTTGCAACGTCTCTGTCCCTTGATATTTTATACAATATACATATGCGTAGGGCGTCTTTTTTTCTCACCTTTTTTTTATAACCTAGATGACTGGATGGAGGTTGTTGCAATCAAAATTACCTACCTTATACGGAATCTGTTCTTCTTGTGGGGCCACAGAAGGGTACCAAAAAGAAACGGTACGTGGTCGCGTATACGCGACCATGATCCCTATCTTTTTGGTAGCCCACAGACGATGCGGCACGTAATGTATGCTACGGGAGGGGCCACTATTATGTAGTCGGACTCTTACGCCCGGCTAAGCACGGAGAGTCCTAAGCACGCACAAGCTAGAATGCTCAGGAACATATGTATTATGTACCTGTAATATGTACGGGTTCTAAACCTTCGTCGGTATCGTAGCCTCTAAGCCTAACTGATGTACATCACGTAGCAAAATTACCTCCTCCTCTTCCCCCCACCCCCCGCTCCGTCACCGTCACCTTTCCTCTTCTTACCCTCCTTACGCCAGAACTCTTGCTTCTCTCTCCGTTCCCGCGCCTCCTTCTTCTCACCCATCTCCTCCATCTTCTTCTTGAATTCGGCGCGCTTCTCGTCTTTCTTAGCCTTGCGCCGCGCTACTGCGTCCTTGCGGATCGTCGTCAGCTTTTGCAGTAGGTCACGTGCCTTGCGCTCTTCTCCACCGAGCACCACCGCCCGCTTCTGCATGTACGTCTTGCGTTTCTGTGGTTTCGTCTGTATGATTTGTGACTTGAATGGTAGTTCCGCTGCTAGAGCGCGGGGCACCTTTAGTGCGTTGAAGTGTCGTGTTGCTCGCTCGATTTGCCGGTATTTGCTGTTGTTATCCTGCGGTGTTGCAATCCCCTGGTCTCGTCGTACCTCACCCGTCAACCGCATCGACTGCCAGTTGCCAAGGAGGTTGGTGACCGGATTATAGAACCGGTGCGGCTTGATGGGGTACCAAGCGCGAAGGAATACCAGATCGCTCATCAGGATCTTGTCTTCGAACGTAGCTCGGAAGTGCCCATCGGGTTTCGATAAGGCGCGCTTGATCTGACCACGGATACCGGAAACGGTTTTGATTGCGGCACCTTCGAACTTGGCGATTTCCAGCGAGCTGTTGAACATGTCCTTAATGAATGCGGTATTCTTGAATATCTTGTATGGCGCACCGGTGAGTTTGAGCTTCTTCACAATCTCAGTCGACTCGTCAACAGCTAGAACGGTTCCAGTTGCGGCGATTCGAAAGCCTGGGTTGGTGGAAGAAAAGGACTGGAAACAGACGAAACCTGTATTTGGTGCGATTAGAGGACCGTAGAATGTGCCAAAGCAGTGCATATGCTCCGGCGTATACTTCAGCATACGATTTCTCGTCCGAGAGTCCGAAATGCTGTATATTGGGAGTGTTTGGAATCTCCTCCACCCAAGAGAGAAGATAAGGGGGTCGTTGGTTTTGAGAATTTTCTTGTGCCAACGGTGCCGCTTGATACGGACCTGGACAAACCCAAATCGATCCTCCGTAGCGAGCACACCTCCGACTATAATAGGCATCCGAGCGTTGAAATTGGTAACGAACTCTGCAGGAACCTTTTCAAGTAGAATCTTGGCATATTTGCCAGCTTTGAAACCCTCGACAGCGACTCTTTGCCGTTCGTCCAAAGCTTCAAACTCGGCATTGTTGATGTCAAGCTGCTTTTGAATGAGCGCCTTTTGCGCATCATACCAGTCGTCTTCACCAAACTCTTCGTCGTCTCCGCCTTCACGTCTAGCTTGAGCCTTGTCATTTTTAAACCCTTCGCGATCTTCCTCCTCAAATCGTAATTTCAGCTCTTCTTTCCTCCGAGCGTTCCTTTCGCGCTCTGCTTCTAGGCTCTCTGCTGGCTCTGGCGCGGGGTCGGCCTTATGCTGTTCACCCGTTTCAAGGTCTTCAAACTCGCCGTCTCCTTCGTCGTCGTCGTCGTCCCCATCCTCATCGTCAAACCCATCGAATCCGTCTTCATCGTCGCCGTCTCCGCCAAGTGTCGCTGTTGTAAAACGCTGGCGGAGCTGCTCAACATTATCGTTGAGTGTCCATTTAGTGGCTAACTGGTCATAATCGTATAGGGGTATTGAGCGGTCTTCCGAGCTTGCATCTTCTTCGTGCTTTGCCTTCTTGAAAAAATCTTCGTCTTCAGAGTCTTCAATATTTTCTTCCTCTTCTTCTGCATCAACCTCTCCTTTCCATCTCTGTAGCACCTCATCGGCTGTCAAGGCCTCATCATACATTAGGCGTGCTAGATCTGCTGTTCGGTAGGATGGACGGCCGCCATGGCGAAGTAGTGCCTTCCCAGCTAAGTTGTCCTTCCACCTGAGTGCGGATTCTTCTGCGCCATCGTACTCATCCTCTTCATCCTCATCCTCATCCTCATCCTCATCGTCGTCGTCGTCGTCTACCTCATCGCCTGATATAGAGCCCAGATCTGAGTCGCTATCCGCAAATGCGATATCTTCCTCATCACCGTCCTTATCTGACGCCTTAAACATTTTGCCCAATTTTTGCTCATTGAACTCAGGCTCTTCGTCCGAATTAAAATCTTCCTCTCCACTAACAAAGCCTTCGTCGTCAGGCGTTTCCTCTTCATCCTCATCTCTTGCAGCAAATCGTGCATTACGTTGACTTTTCCTTCCAGTGTCCTCCTCCTCAGGAATACTCGTTATCTTCTCGCCGCCTCGGAACAGCTGCAGGCCATCTTCCGTCTGACCTAACAGCCGCCTTTCTCCTTGGAGTCCGATAATGAGTTCTTCACCCTCACCACGCTCTCCATCTTCAGCGTCTTTATCGAAATTAAAGCCCTTTTCCCTAGTAATCCAGATAGCGTCACCATCTATCTTCAGACCACTTCTATCTGACATGGGAGCATGAAGCTTCTTTTCCTTTTCATCCAGTCGCCTCCTGCCAGTTTTTCCAGTTGCTTTCGCAATTGCCTGTTCCATAGCTGGCGTTGGACATGGATCGGGTAGAGCCTCAATACCTGACACGGAGAAATCACCTAGACCAGGAACATGGACTTTTTGGTTGTGACCCGAGAAGTTAGTTCCTCGAAGATACCCTGAAAGAACAACTGATCGATCACAATTTTCGTCCTCCTCAATTTGAGTAGGGTGTGTAATATCTCGGAAGCTGTCTATGATAACATAGGGATGTGAGTTCCTCCAAATTAGCGGTCGGGGACTTTTCATGACAGAAAGGAAGCGAGATAGATTGTGAATTTCGCGGTCAGGATACCGCCCATTAATAACACCAGATAGATAGAATAGATGTGCGCCCTGATATAATTCACTCCATAACCTGTGTTTCAGCCTTTTCTTCGCATCCTTTAGAGCCTGGGGTTTTTTGAATAAGTCTAGATGGGTTAGGATGCCGAACACATTGCCAGGCATACCCGTTGCAGCTAGGATATTTAAGAATTCCATAGTCTCCATTTCGAAACCAAAATTTCCGTCAATCATTAACAAGACGATATCGGCGACTTTAGCTATGTCGACCATCGCTTCGAGTTCATTGGGACATTCGATAAAGGTTAACCGTTGCTTTTTTGATGTGACCACGGTGATGGGCCCTTGAGGTTCAGAGATCGTCTCCTTTGCATATCTGCGAATGAGCGACTTTAATAAGGTCGTTTTCCCAACGCCAGGCGGTCCAACAATTGTTACGAGTCTCGGAGGCGCCTCGCTGGGTACCCGATCGACGAGAGGGACGTGGAATCGCCTTTCTTTGATCTATTATAGCGAAATTAGTTACGATACTGATCAATCCCGTTTGTGTAGATTGTGCATACATCTTGAGACCTCGCAGCTGCGCGTTGTAGTTTACCGGGTCTAGAGAAGGCGAAGGCCTTGGGATTGTGATCTGGTCCTATTAGTAGTGTAATAATTACAATTGGGGTTATACTAACCACCAGCTGGCTTCTTCTTCTCTTTCGCTTTGCGATGAGGTTTGTGCGCCTGTTGCTCCATGATTGCGACTTTGCAACGTTGAACGCAACAACTTGGCTCACGTAAAAGATGCTGCAGCGACTTGAGTCCTTCGCATTGAAGAAAAAAATGTTTAGTTGATCAAGTAAGTTCTTATCGATAGCGATAAGAATATTTTTAATGGGTCTCGGTTCATCTATGTGGTAAGCACCTGAGCTAAGCTGATATAAAGTGGGACAAGGTTGGCCTTACCTTCGGGTCCCTGAATTCTACTTCAGGGTAGGTTACTAGCGGCTTAAGGCCTCAATTAGAGACATGGGATAAGGCAGCATAAGGTAACTTTCTACGTACCTAACCTAGGTATGTAACCTAGAACCTTTAAATATAAACACCGAGGTATCACACAAACGGATGGTTAGTGGGAGTAACACTTGGTTTATTTATCCTCTATATGCAGCGCGGAAGAAATCGTGTGTAAACATGGATCTATTTATGCTGTGTTGCGTACCTCACTTAAACCTATAAAAACGATTTGGAACTAGATTATGCCATGGGGAACAGTTCTCGCCCAAACCGAGTTATTGGCTCCATATACAGAATCTAAGACGTATTAGCAATACAAGGTAGTACGTATTACTGTATACGCAAGCTACATACCTAACCTACGGGATGAGTCGAATCCAACTCGGTGCCAAGAAAGCTGATTAGCTACAATGTATAATCTAATATGTCAGAGTCCAACGGGGTTTCCAGTTTCCAAGGCGCTAAGGTGTAGTCAAATCGTAAAGGAGCGGGAAGTTTGCTCTAAAAGTTAGGCCGTAATGACGTATTCACCCTCCTACCTGTCGAAAGCCTCCTACGCGTGTTCAGTCCTATGCCACTTTCTTTACGGCGATACTAAACGTTCTGAGGATACGTATCTTAGCTGCTATGGTCTTTACCGAAACCAGTCTCCCAATAAATTCCCGCTCATGCACTTTCCTACTTCTATCCGCTTTGCCCAACTCTTTATCTTACACTTAAAACACCAACGTCTATCTTCCTCTTCATTCTACTACCTTGCAACCCAAGACTACTATAGACCACCAACCACACGTTTATTCTGCACAACCACATCTTTAAAAATGCCTAGCTACATTGTAATTATAAACCTCCCTACTACATTATAAATAAATAACTAGTTTGTTGAGACATTCTTACTTACTGTTGAATAGGTTACCCTTAAGGAGAACGCTACTCCCGAGGAAGTGGCCGCAGCAAAGAAGCACGCTCAGGACCAGGGCGGCAAGATTGGCCACGAATACAGCCTTATCAAGGCTTTCTCGTACGTGATTCCTTAGCATTTATATTTTAAATTTGGATTTTCCTAATATTTATTTCGTATAGTGTCACATTCCCGAACGATGCCATCACCACGTTGGAGTCCAACGAGCACGTTAAAGCTGTCGAGTTGGACCAGGAAGTGAGGACGCAATAGCTGTCGTGATGAGGGGCAATTAGGTCTTAGAGCCCATCGCGTGAGCGTGACCGAGCTAGCATATGATGCGGGGCTTTGAAACTATGCTACTACGGTATTAGGTTATACTAGGTTATACAAGAAAGCTTGACTTGACTTGACTTGGCTTATACATAGATACCTGATCTACCAATATTGCTTAACCAACGTCACATAAATTCGTCCATTTGTAATTATCATGATTGGATTGTATGTCTCTACATATGTGATGTATCTGCTACCTACCTCCTGCCAAATAATAAGAGCCTTTAAATGGGCATGAAAACAAAGATCGGCATCGGCTACAGAACGTAGCAGATAAGGACCCTTATCCATTCCATTCTCAGCACTGACGTCGATGTTATCCGGGGGTTGGCTCGTGACTCCGACACATCAAAAATCAAACCTTTATTATTTATTTCGTCTTCAACCCTGGTTATGACTCCAACAGCTCCAACATACAACTATTCTACACTCCTGCTCGCTGCTCGACGCCACACAATGCCGCCATGAGGAGCATATATAGGCCGTTGCGGTGTTTTCACGCACCCAAGGCCTTGATTGCGAGTCCTAGACGCAGCATCCTTGGATCGTGTTTTTATTCGTCACATGTTACTAGCAGCTCATCGCCCTCGCCGTCGAACGATGAGAAATGGTCCCATCCCCCAAGCACAGCGACTGTGACCGACGATGAGATTGCAGATCTCACCAACAAGAAGCAGCACCCGTTAAGTCTTGCTGATTTGGTTAAGTACGTAGCTGTTCTCCAGGTCTATTTGGTATATCGTATATCGTATATCGTATATCGTATTGCCTTCACCGCTTCTAGTTTATAAAACATAAATGCGTATTTAGAGACATGTAGCTAATAGTGATTGATCAAACAGACATGGTCGGCCACCTCTCTCAGCAGAGGCTCTTTTCTCGTCAGCCAACTTCACCCTCTCCCTACTACCTATTCGACTAGCCCATCGCATCCAGGCACTACGAAACCTACCCTTCATCGTGGTCTCAAATCCCAACATCAGCAAGATCTACAACAACTACTTGCACTCATTATCGACTCTCCTACCTTGGAAACACCACACCATTGGTAACTTAGATGCCGAAATCCTCTTCACCTCGGTTCTTGCTGAGTTGGTCCATACCCACCAAGACACCATCCCTATCCTAGCTAAGGGCTTCCTCGAGTGTCGGCGGTACATTTCCCCCCAGGAGGTTACGCGTTTCTTGGATACTCACCTACGCACCCGTATCGGCACCCGTCTCGTCGCCGAGCAGCACATTGCCTTGCACTACAGCAGCCTTCCACACTTCGACCCTTCTGCCTCGCCGACCCCGTGCCCCGAGCAGCCTTCCTACATTGGCGTTATCGATACCGCCCTTTCGCCCTCCGCAGTCGTAGACTCGTGCGCTGGCTTCGTGGCCGACATCTGCGAGCTAAAGTATGGCGTGCGACCACACTGGGTGATCGATGGCGAACCCTCGACCACGTTCGCCTTCGTTCCTATGCATTTGGAGTACATTGTGACAGAGCTGCTCAAAAATGCGTTCCGCGCTACCGTAGAGAGCGGTCGCAACCGCGAGCCCGTCGTCATAACTATCGCACCAGAACCACCCGACGCCGGTCCACCCCGCGTTACCCTCGAACCCCCCGCCGGCGACAAGGGCGCTTTCAAGAGCGACGCCATCATGCCGCTCGAGGACAACGCGCCGGGAGTTACCATCCGCATCCGCGACCGCGGCGGCGGCATTGCCCCTGACGTCTTACCGAATATTTGGAGTTATAGCTTTACTACCTTCATGGAAGACGATATTTCGGGATACAATGTGAATGGAAGTGTTGGTAACGATGCGTTAAGCGTGATATCGGCATCCGGGGGTGGCGGGAGTTCCATCGCCGGTCTGGGCTACGGACTACCGCTTAGTCGCGCTTACGCGGAGTACTTTGGCGGCGGCATAGCTGTTCAGAGCCTGTACGGCTGGGGAACCGACGTTTACTTGCGGCTGAAAGGTGTCGGCAAGATTGATACTATATGTCCATAAGGCGTATAGTTTTATGATGGGTTAAAGACAATCTGGCAGATAGGTTGCTTATGTGTTGCAATTATACTTGATGAAATGTGAATGGGTCAACGATTATGATGTTTTGTTTTATATTCGATTTCATTTTCTTTAAATGAGCGTATATGGAGGATAGGCTGATAAGTGTATATAGGACGTATACTATCAGTAAACTTGCAGCGTAAGAACGTTGTCTTTGCATTGGTATCATTTATATAGCATTACCTATCAACCCTCCGTGGTTTGTATACGGTAAGAATTATAGACTTCTTACATTGATTGCCATTGGGAATTTCCCGTTGTAAGATCGTGCATAGAACAGTTTAAATAAATAAACCAGCACTAAGAATTATACAGATGCTTAAAAGTAAACTGTTTGACACACATGCCACTCACTCACTCACTCACTCACTCACTCATCATGACGTATAACCCGAGTCTTGTCTTTATTAAGTTTGATTAATACCCAACAGTAATGCTCACTATGGGAATGAGAGCCGTGGATATGTATATAACGATATATACCTAGCGATGATATGATATGCCGTAATGTAATAATAAGATATCCTTAAACCATCCTGTTTAGCCATAACCAGCAAAACGCAGCAAAATAGAGGAAAAAGCAAATACGACAGTATGACCTGGCATCTGACTCCGCCGTCGTAACCACCAATACGAATCCAGTCACTTTCTTTTGCGTGGACGAATAGTATATGGGCTTCATCTGTTTGAAAACGCCAGCAAAGACAATATTCTTTTGAATGACCCGGTTCCGCCCCGAACCCAAACCCTGCTAGTATCACATTAAACATGATCAACCTGAGTTGCCATTATGTACATCCAGATTAATTCGCCTAATATCTGCTCCGATCGACTATAGGTAAGAAAAGATGATGCGATTACATGTTAGCTAATTCGTTATCAATCTGGCGATCAAGGAATATCTTTCGCTCGCCAATTAACTCTGTCTGTAGTCGCTGCTCAACGAGAGCCCGGACTTGTTTCTTAGTTACCGTGTCCAGATCGACTTCTCGGAGCACAGCCTGGATTGCCTCTATGATCATTCCATCATCAGGTCCTAGGTGACCTCGTTGGAAATCAAAGGATGCAGTGGACTGATGACCTTGGCCTAACGGTGGGCGGGCGCCGCCAGCATAGCCCAGTGTAGCGTTAGAAACGCGGTGCATATGCTGCGGAGAATTGTTAGATACGCCACGGAGATTGCTCATGCTGGGCCTTTGTGTAGGGAAGTCCTGGAAAGGTGATTGCATGCGCTGCTGCATGTCGCCAAATGATGCAGTAGACTGCCGGTACATCGTGTTATCGGCGTAAGGGCCAGATACAGACTGGCGGGTCATATGCTGGAAGGGAGCCGGGGATTGGGGTGGCATATATCCACCGCGGCCTTGGAGACCGGTGAGAACTGAGGGCTGCCGAACTGAAGAGTAGACTGATTTCATGTCGTCCATTTCGTAAGTATCGTCGTAGAAATCATGTGCCTTTTCGTTTTGAGCGCCGCGGCGACCAGGCAGGTTATTTAACGTGGCATAATCATCCCATCGTTGTAAAGGAATGGAACGTGGGTCGAAACCCTCGTCATCGACTGCCACCAACTGCTTGTTACCCTTCTCACCAATTACAATACGCGTGTTACCCCAGCTGAAGTTATCTTGGTTCCAGAAAGAGTAAATCGGGAGAATGAAGGAGTAGATCGGGAACGCGAGGAGGTAGATGATCATCCAGCCGACATGCTGCCATTGTCGCTTAAGGATGAAGATTAGAGCTTGGAGACCATAGACCGCAGCTATCATAGCAATAGAAACGATAGGGAACGGACCCGTGTGAGAAATGATAAGGTATAAGAGGTAACCAATATAAACACAAGTGGCCGGGAGGATAAGCGTTCCAGTGAGATCAATGAAGACAACAAAGCGCATAGAGAAACAGCAGAAGCCACACATGTCCCTAAGCATCATCAACTCAACAAGATTGTGGATAGTTGAGTTAATCCACCTTCGCCGCTGCGAGAGCAAGACATTGAACTTTTCAGGAGCAGCCGTCTGACAGTACGCATCAGGAATGAATTTGAATGCCATACGCGGAAAGTGCTTTGTCATCAGCGTAGTGAGATATCGATCTTCACCGAGAGATAAAAGATTCTTCTTATGGAGAGTGTCAACGGTGCAAATGCTGTAATCTTTGATGACTCCGTCAGAAATAATCAAGGGTCTACCTCGGTCAGCAGTGCGCAGGCGATACATCGTGAAACTGCAAATAAGGTTAGTATAACGATATACACGACAACGATGAGAGACCTACCATCCGGGCAGACAAGTAACACTGCCGAAGAGTGATTCGAAAGCTTTTGACAAGTGGTGGGAGATGTAATATTCGTAGACCTGAATCATGCTCCACCAGGAACGTTCCTCGTTTTGGAGACCAGTCTCGCCACAAATACCAGCGATCTTTGAATTATTGGCACAGGCAGCAACAAGTCGGTTGAGGGAATCCTCTCGTACGCAAGTATCAGCATCGACCATCAAGAGGTACTCGTATAGTTCGGGGTCAACGCCGATGATGTTATTGATTTGATGGAACATTTCCAATTCCAGGGGGTTCATCGGAGCACGGTGGTGGACACGGTTCAAGAAGCTCATCAGCAAGATCTGCGAGTCACGCTTGCCACGGTTGCCAGGTTTTGCTTTGACCTGCTCGGATTCTTTGCCTACTTTGACGACAACAAGATAAGGGACCACATTGCCTTCATATTCGTAAAGCCCAGAATAGACCTTGCCATAGTTAAGTTGTTCGCTGCCAGTACCAACGGATTTGAAGGGTAGAGCTGGGGGGTCAACCTTGGGATCAACTCCGAGGATATCGAGAACAATCTTTGGCGTAGGTCGATCGTTACCTTCACCAACAATGACACCATCGCAGATAACACAGATCAGCTTCCTCTTGTTATCGTACTGTAACGCGGTGAGGGAATCAAGTGCTCTTCTCAAAGAGTCTTCTCCCTCCGTATAGGCTGGAACCTGGCAGATGACGAACTTATCCTGCGGGGCAGGACGCCGTTTGGAGCCAAACTGTAAGGCCGCAAAAAACTTAATTCCAGTAACTATACAAATAATAATGGCAAAGGCGAGGAGGATGTAGTTGTTTGCTTGACATTTAGCCGAATTGCGGAAGTCCGGTATGCCGACGTAGAAGGTTTCCTTGATACAGTTGAGACTGTTCAGTTTCGTCGCAAGGGCTGTCTTATTCCCTTTAACACTAGCAATTTGGTTGGTCCATAGGCTTGTGATGTCTTCTCCCGGGTTATCTTTGATTGTATCGATTAAATCCGCGTCCAGAAAGTTGTACTGAGCGAGATTCTTATAATAATCAATAGTATTGAAATAGTTTGTTAGGTCGTAAATTCCGCCTTCATAGACGATCCACATGTGGTTATTATTCTTGCCGTCCTCGAGAACATCATTGCTATCCCAGACTAGGTCGCCATGGTAGTACTCCTTGATCTTGGGTTGGAATGAATCACGATACCAAGTAGGGGATCTTAACTTAGTTGTTTGGTCGGCCTGGTAATACCCAGATGTGTGGACACCTTGGGGTATAGTGGGCGTGTTGTTCCTTTGCAGCTGTATAGTTTCAGAAACACCTAGGCCAGGACATGTAAGCTGGAGAGGGGCTACAAAGTAGTCGTCCAAATTCATTCCGGCGAACTGCAGCATGAGATCGTTCGTTGTTTCGATATTTGTGTCACTGTGCTGTTGTCGCCAAAAGTCGGTAATATCGTAGACCCTGCCATGGATACTAACCCAGAAATCATCACCGCCTTGGTGAGTATCGACTTCTTTCTGGAGCCAAGCCTTGTCGAAATTGGGACATATAAGGCGACCCAATAAAATAATCCAGAAAATGACGAAAGCGTTTATCAAAAAGATGAGGAAAACCAGAACAAATTTTTCACGCCAGGCCATCCGAACATCCGGCCGTTTCATTCGGCCGATATAGCGAAGAGCGAAGGAAGGAATCCAGAAAGTCAAAGTCCAAACGAAACCAACCCAAACCCGTCGAGTTAGGGTTGTATCTACGGTTTCAACATGCTTGCCCTGTGCATCGACAGCATCAAGATCACCAATGAATCCACCGTCACCAGTGTAGAATACCTGGTCCCGATGGTTGTCACCCTTTGATCCCAGACCGTAATCACCGTTATTAACGTTACGCATAGCGGAGGGCGTAGTGGAAGTAGCCCTCATTTGGCTTTGTGCAAGCGTAAGTCGACTTTGGTTACGCTGGTGATTGATAAGTTGATCCTGGCTACCGGAAGAGTTATGATCGGGATAGTTTGGAGGGAAAAATCCACTGCCATTGTTGGAATATCCCGTTTCAAGACCAGGCGTATTGAACACATTGCTCATACTGCCCAAACCGCCCATACCACCAGGTACAGAGTCCTGTGGTGGTCTAAGGTCGAGCATACTCTCAGCTTCCCACCAGGCAGTTTCTCTCATCCAAACTCGTTCTTTACCAATAACTACTTCACCATTGCTCCAACCTCTCTCAAGAATCCACGTCTCAATACCATCACGACCTTCTCCGCAGCCAAGAGGGGCGAAGCGTTGGTAAAACTCATCCATATCAAAATCAGCCGTAAAATCAAGATTCTTGTTGCGACGATTAGCCCACTCAGGCAATCTCCAAGCACGTAGCTGGCGAGAGACTGTACCAGCTGACCAAGCAGATGTGATAGAAGGAAGAGCGGCCAGGCTAGCTGGGGTTTCGTCAGTGGGGTGAAGAGACAAATGGTACCAAACTCGACTGGCGCTAAGTATAGAAGGAAGGTCTAGTCGCGCATTCCGACCCAAGTTAATCCCGTGTCCTGAGACGGGGAAAAGTAACTTTTTCAGAAAGCCATCATCATCACTAGCGAAGCCAGCCTTCTCCAGAATCTCCTCCCTCTTCTCAAGTTCGTGCTGCCTTGCCCTGGCAACAGGGCCGGTCATGATGCCCAGATCAGGTGCAACATCAGCAACACTATTCTGCATTTCTCGGAGCACTGAACTGCCGGCGGAAACCACATCCACTCCGTCTTCCTTCATTTCAGCATTGATTCCCGCGGTGTCGTCAAAAATACCACGCATGGCAATGGCCTTGCCGAGGTTTGGGTCGGGAATTTCAACAATGGTTATACAGACAGTATCCCCATTGTCTTCGGCTGACGTGGGTGTTCTATGGCCATCCAATGATTCTTGGCCATCACGAATACGGGACATCTGAATTGCAATGGCTTCGTTCGCCTTGGTGACAACCCAATCGACGAGGGCCTCGTATAATCCTCCCACTAATACCCGTCTATCATCTGTTGAACATTGTCGAGCCAAGACTTCCGGGTCAAGACCTAAAAGTCCACCAACATCTTCGCAGACGTCATCAAGCACCTCGTCATCGACGTTGTAGTCAAGGGTATTGCCAAGCTTGAGAAGTCCAGCAAGGGTTGAAATGAAGTCTCGGTGAGCTGATCCCTTGATACCAATTTCTTTAAGGGCAGTGCGGAAGTCATCTGCAGCAGCTCCATCGTCGGCGGTTGGGAGATAAGAAGGGGGGGTGTATGTACCAGACTTGGCTAGCAGCGAATAGGTAGAGGCCGACTTAAGACCAAGGAATTCTCGCTCAGCCGGGGTCGAGGCTGAAGTTAACAGGTAGTAGAAGACGTCGAATGCACGATATCCAGCTTCAGCAGGTATATCAAGTAGGCCCTTTACGGTATCGATGCCGCCTTGTGATAGCGCCAAGCTAGCCGCAGTTAAGTTTCCAGCTAAGTTTAGTGTCAAGGTTACTGCAAGGGCAGACTGCCGCGGCGTTGATGGGTTATAAGGAGTTACGCAACGTATAAACGGATTGATTGCTTCTAGAGCAGTTAATAGAGAGGAGGGGATGGAAACAGGTAAGGACGTGAGGAAAGGGTTCAGTAGTGAGGGGGTTGACTGATGAAGAGACCTAAATGTCCAGTAAGCAACGATTTCATGTGGACTGGACAATAACCTAACACTACATACCCTAAAATAATGCAGCCGTCTTCTGCTCGTCGCCTAGCGTGTTCCCAGGCCCTAGCTGCCAAATCGCGATCTACGGTCCCTCCAGTCTTGCCGTCCTGTCCTGCTTGGGTAGCAGTAAGCCATGTGTTTACGACGAGGCTTGTTCCGGCATCGAGTCTGTAGGGCTGGGAGGACATATAGATATTATGAATGCCGTTTAAGAGAGTGGTCGTCGAGACTTGAGTGGATTGTTGACCGGCACCTCGTGGTCCTCCCATAGCATCGGAAGCCACCGAGTACATGGACATTCGTGCTTGGTGATTAGCCATGTTGAACTCGATCAAATCGTGTTGCCCTTCCGGACAACAACGACAGGCCTATACTCTCGAATATGTTGTGAAAGAGCAGCTGACACCGGTAGCAATGACAGATTCAAATTCACGGAATTCTTCTAGTCTCAACTATTGGCGAAGGATGGCTGAGACGTCGGTATGTTAATGGATTCGACGGGTAGAGAGCGAATGTATGTCGAATAGGTCCGGGAGAGTTGAGTTATCGGGAGGAACAAGGGAAAGGATTTCGCTTTGCAAGAGACTGAGTAGCGAATGGCATAAACCACCTTTCCTATCCCCTGATCCTATAAGACAATTACAAGCGATAGCAATTATTAAAAGCGATAGACTATCGTGTCACCAAAGCGAGTGAGGTAACTAACAAGATTGGAAAATAAGGGAAGCGACGACAAAATGGAGGCTTGCAACAACAAGACAGTAAAACAGATAGGTACCATGGGATAATCCTCCCCTATGGTTTGTATGGCTGGAAGTCAGGAAAATAATGGGCAGATTGGGGCAGTCGAAGAGTACATAATACAGTGCGAGTAAATGTCTTGGCGCATTTCCCAAAATAGTCTAGCCTGTATCTAATTTTTGCTTCCCCTGGGGAGGCTCTGGGAAGCCACAGGGTGGTTAGTGTGGTTAGGGTGGCTAGTATGGTTAGGGTGGTCTAGATATACGAAGCGACTAACGCTAATAGATGCCCGTTGATTTTACGGTGGAAACTGTGATCAGTTCCCGCGTCGCTGATCCCTTTCTCTTTTTTTTGCTGACCCTAACAGCTGGGAAACCCTTGTCCTCTTCGCAGGACTCTCCGCTCCAATTCCCTATTTCATCGCTACCACAAGGATTTCATCAGGAATTCATACATAGGCGATCATTACTAACTGATCGCTGATCCAATGCGATACGGTACTCCCCCAGTTCCCCGTACTCTATGTGCACTTGGACATTTAGTTGCTCTACGAGTTCGGGAAGAGATTGACGACATTGACGTGGCAGCAACGGACAAGACAAATAGCATTGCAGGTAATTCGTCGGTTGTTCATGGCATGATACATTGGCATGGGATGATTCTGGTTTTGCACGACTAGCCCTGCGAACCTGCGCGTGTTTGGACCGCTGGTGAGGAGGGCGGGGGGGTCGAAATACGAAGCGGCCAAATGGGGACAACAGGACTCGGCAGGTCGATAGCCTTCTCGAACCCGTTTGCACCACTTTTATTGGTATCTTTTGTCTCATTCCTCAATCGCCATAGCCACACCCGTAATGCACACACCACATTAATACGAGAACAACCTTATGTCATTATTTTTATTTTTATTTTTATTTTTATGTATTTCCATCTTTGTTTGCCAAGTTACATATTCTCAGCTCGCAGAGGTCTTATTGTTCGTGTTGATAACTCGGTCAAAAACTAATGCCGTTTACATATAGGTATTGTACATAGGTTAGGTACGAAATACATGATATAACAGTAAGCGTTGGCGGATGCTAATTCAGTCTCCGGCTCGCGAATAACCTTAATATCGTACCCGGCAAACCAAAAGCTTGATGACAGGAGTTATCTTTTTCTTTCTTTCTGGAATTTAACTTTATTTCAAATGACTTGCGTTGCCTGCGGCACGTCAGTCACCGGCAAGCTTCAATGTTGAAAGCAAGTCATTCCCATCACAATACAGTTTCCACTGCACATTTCGGTCTGATCTATTGCCCCTCTTACGTCTTCGGGAATAAGAAATGCAATAGCCAACTCCTATTCGAATTACCCTACCTACCTGTCTACATTATAACTACCTTTCTCTCGTCAGCGGCTAGCCGTCATTTTTTACAGCTCGACTCCCAGCTCTGATTAGAAAGCATTGTTTACGTCTCTTAAAAGCCGAGTTACGACAGATGACATCAACTATGTATTATCACCTAGCCTTCCTTCAAGAATTGCTGGCAAATACCTATGTAGGTAGCCATCCATTTTTATTTTCCTAGAGCGACCGTATATGAATGATATATACATCAACCTCGAAGTGCATATGCTTGTGTCACCATGCAGGGCGTTCTTAGTTAAGTAGTTGTCTGGTCAGTCCGATCGATGACAACCTGTCGAACCTATCACATCTGTGGTTCATATAAACAGTGGCGTTGGTTTTAACTTGGATTGGCCGGTCAAATGTGGACGATAACAAGTAAGGTTGTTGACTCTATCTAAGACACACAGGTAGACATAAATAGAAAATAAGTATGAAATTGGTGCCGCGCTATTGTCTATTGAAATTGTTGTCATATGCCAATTAGCATGCATAACATATCAGGAATGCAAGATACATAGTAAACAGAGACGGTCCTGATTTTGTGTATTTTATTCCCTGTCGGAATCTACTTGGTATATTTTCAATACCGGAATAGTGGAGGAATTCCGGTTTGATAAATACAACACTAACATCGCTATGTAGTTCTTCAGCCCTGGAGTAATGCTGTCATTGGTTCCCTATTTGAACTTGTAACTCGTTCAGATTTTCGTATCCCTGCCTCCACTAACCCGTACAAATGCTACGTATGGATCAGATTCTAGATCTGGCAGTGTTAGGTTAGGGAACATCTTCTTAAGTGTTTCCACGCATTCTTGATTGAAGTTTATACGTACAGCTTTTGAAAGGGAAAGCAAAGATCAAAAATATGTGCATGGTATGAGCAAGAGGACACGACTTGTATACACTATACGGAGGTCAACCCCGTCTCGCATTAAATCTGCAGGTATCCAAGAAAATTCCGGGCGGTTCGATCGATGTTCGTGAGACTAACTAATATGCTTAGAGCTTAGCACGAGACGCTGGGATCAGTTACTGTGCGTTATACGGAGTACATGTCGTGGATCTGCCCTCCAATACGTAATGCGTGTACATTATGTACATGATCACACATTACATAGCTAGAAATACATGCATATAGGTATATACCTATCTAGGTAAGTATCGTGTCAGCGGGTCACAGCGCACCTCCCTAAGACTTCGTATGATCTGGCACCCGCGCCTCGGGAATCCCTGTAAGCTACATACATAGCCAGCCCGGGTACTTATGCAAACTAATTGTAAGCAAAGTCGTGCACTGTACGGCAAGTACCTGAGCAGTTGTACAAAAATAAACTGCCCAAGGGCAGAGCCGTCTTGAACCCAAGTCCCCTTTCATCTGAACCGTCTACCTAAGAAACAACGTCGGAGAGAGCCTCAGTTTTTTGGCTTTCCCTTGTTCTCGTCTGTTTCCCATCGCTTTTTATATTTGTCACTACACTCGTTTCTGTATGCTACTATACACTCGCTACGCGTAACTTGGATTCCTGCTGGAGACAATCTGTAGCTTGTTGGTTCATCGATCAAAAAACCGGCAGAAACAAAGGACGCCTGTTTCCTTCACCCTCGTAAATCTTGGATAGCCAATTCTCAACTTCTAACAGTGCATCTCACCTGGGTATCCTCGGAGCGTCAAAGTGACGCTGAACGGCTCCTTTTGAGTAGTCGGCCTGTTGAAAGGTGCCATCTTTTGGCCCTCCATCCAGCATGGCTCTCAATCTCCCATCCATGGGTGGGAGCGGAGGTGCTCATACTCAGCCCTCGTTACCCTCTTTACCTGCTCATCTCCAGTCCGATACTCACTTGACAGCACATCTTGCCAGTCGTTTTCACGTATCCATCCCGACGGCTCGCTTATCTTCGCATGCCCTCATCTCTCTAAATACCTATACCACGTCGACAAAGGGTCTCGATGGAGGTAAGGAAGGAAGCGCCATGGCCGGCGCTGAAGATATGGCCGACAGGGCCTTTCTTAGATTGGGGCATCGCACAGAAAATCAGGCGGTTTTGTTCCTGTATGTCAACACGATAGAAACGCAGAATTGCTCAGTAAGAAATAGCTAACAAGTATACTTGCAGGGGCGAATCTGGCTCCGGGAAAACCACCATTCGATCCCACCTTTTAACCTCGCTCTTGAACAAGTCCTCCACGCCGCTATCCAGCAAAATTTCACTAGCTGCTTATGTTTTTGATACCCTCACAACGACGAAAACCGCGACGACTCCAACAGCTTCTAAGGCCGGTCTCTTCTACGAGCTTCAATATGATACCACCTCAAGCACCAATCCCCTTTTACTTGGTGCCAAGCTATTAGACCACCGTCTAGAAAGGAGTAGGATTACCGATGTGCCTACGGGAGAGCGTAACTTCCATGTGTTGTATTATCTTCTTGCCGGAACGAGCGAAGCTGAAAAAACTCATCTTGGTATTGATACTCCTAGAGATACAGCCGGACATAGACGCTGGAAGTATCTCGGTCACCCTACCCAGCTTAAGGTAGGAATCAACGACGCCGACGGGTTCCAGCTATTCAAGACGGCTCTACGAAGATTGGAATTTCCCAGGGGCGAAATTGCTGAAGTCTGTCAAATTTTAGCTTGTATCTTGCATATTGGACAGCTAGAGTTCGAGACAACTGCGAATACCACGGCTACTGGAGACGACAGCGGCGGTTTCTCTCATGAAGGTGGTCAGAACATCACCGCCGCGCGAAACAAGGATGTGCTGGGTATTATCGCTGCCTTCCTGGGTGTTAGTTCGCAAGATCTTCAAAACACAATGGGGTATAAAACTAAGATGATCCATCGCGAACGCGTAACGGTTATGTTAGACCCTAAGGGTGCCCGTGCCAATGCCGACGAATTGGCTAGGACTTTGTATTCTCTCCTGGTCGCTTATGTCATTGAGAACATCAACCAGAGGATATGCGCTGCTGAAGAGTCTATCGCGAACACCATTAGCATCATTGATTTCCCCGGCTTCTCTCAACAGTCTTCGACTGGATCTGCCCTCGACCAACTCCTTAACAACGCTGCGGTTGAATCGCTTTACAACCTGACTCTTCAAAACTTTTTCGACCGTAAGGCAGATATGTTAGACACTGAAGAGGTTGTAGTCCCCGCTACGAGCTATTTCGATAACTCGGATGCTGTTAAGGGACTTCTCAAGCCTGGAAATGGTCTACTCAGCATATTAGACGACCAAACTCGACGACATCGTACAGATATGCAACTTTTAGAAAGCTTGAGGCGGCGATTCGAGGGTAAGAATCCAGCAATTAACGTAGGCTCCGCAACAGCTAGGCTGCCTGGAAGCAATTTTCTTTCAGAAAATACTGCTGCGACCTTCACAGTCAAACACTTTGCTGGTGAAATTGACTACCCAATCAAAGGGCTAGTCGAGGAGAATGGCGAAGTCATATCCAGTGACGTGATGAACTTGATTAAGTCAAGTAAGAGTGAATTTGTTACTCGCCTTTTCGGTCAAGAAGCTCTTCAGACCGTTATGCATCCTCAAGAGAAGACTACGGTTATGCAAGCGTCGGTCAGCTCTAAGCCCATGCGTGCCCCAAGTGTCATGTCGAGGAAGACGACACGAACCATGGGATCTCGGAGACCCCGCCGACAGGAATCCC